TCGCTTATCTCTCGAATTCTGCCCTCGTGATCCAGTAGTTGTTTATCTCTCTTTTTCTCAGCTTCTTTATTTTCCATCATTTGGTCTTCTATATCACTGATTCTCTCTTCTGCCTCATTTATCCTAGCAGTTAGTGCCCCCATTTTTTATTGTACCTCATTAATAGTCTTTTTGATTTCGACTTGGTTAGATTTTAGTTCTTTCATTTCTCCAGAAAGGGTTTCTCTAATGACTTCCGTGCTTTTTTCAAGCCCAGCTAGTATCTTTAAAATCATGATTCTGAACCTACGTCCGACATCATACTAATGTCCGTATTGAGTAGGTCCCTGGCAGACGGTACTACCTCTTGTTCTTTTTGTTGAGATTTTTTTCATCTTGTCATTTTGTCCAGAGGAGACTAGGTGAATGAGAGAACAAAATGCTAACTGGTTAACAATGTCCTGAGAACATATACCCTAAACAAATCAGAAAAGACCTGACACCAGGGGAAAAGAAAGGGAAAGAAAGAAAAATGAAAGAGAAAAAAAAAAAAACAAACAAAAACAGAACAAAACACAAAAAACAGAATATGATCAAATATGATCAGGCTGGTGCATAAATGAGTGCCACACACTAGATTTTGGGTGTATTTTGGTCTGTTAGAAGAAAGTGCCTCCTAAAATTTTAAAGAAAGAAAGACATATGTGTACAAAAGAAGGGTAGATATGATGAAGGGATGGAATATGATTGTAAAGATGAAAATTATAAAAAATTTTAAAAAAGGAATTGATAAGGTGTTTGAAAAAAGAAAGAAGAGGATTAAAAAAAAAAAGAAAGAAAGAAAAAAAAGGGGGAGAGAATGTGATCAGGCAGGAGACTAGAACAAAACCATACACTAGAGATTTAGGGTATATTTTGATATGTTAGGAGAAACTATATCTCAAAATTTTAAAGAGAGAACAACTTATATATATGTCAAAAATAAGGGTAACTACTATGAAGGGATAGAATATGACTCTAAAAATGAAAAATAAATTTTTTTTTTTAGAAAGGGATTGATAAGATGTTGGTTGAAAATGGGGAAAAGAAAAATTAAAAAAAAAGTTAAAAAAGAATTAACTTTGAAAGACTAATGAATCATGGTAAAAAAAGTCATGAATTCTATGTGCAGTATTCTCCTAGCGCTGGAGTTCTCCTGTTCTCATTGATCGGTAAACTTGGTCTTGGCTGGCTGTTCGTGCTGATCTTCTGGGGGAGGGGCCTGTTGCCGTGGTTCCCAAATGTCTTTGCCGGAGGCGGAATTGCCCCGCCCCTGCCGGTCCGGGCTAAGTAACTTGCTCGGGTTTGCTCTCGGGACCTTTTGTTCCCTGTAAGCTTTCTGTACGGCGTTGGAGGACAACAGTGAAAATGGTGGCCTCCCAATCTCCGCCCGGAGGAGCCGAGAACTCGGGGCCCCGCTCCACAGTTCGCCCCCAGAGAAAAGCAGTCAGTCACTCCCATGTCCCCGGTCTCCAGCCGCACTGCGTGCTCACCCGGCCTGTGACCGAGCGTTTCTATCTCTGGCTCCCAGCTCGGTGTGGAGTCTCCAAACCCAGCAGATCCCTGCGGTGCGCTCCCGCGCCGCTCCTTCCGGGGGAGGAAGGGGAGTCTCCCCGGATCTGCCGCTTGTTGGGTCCCTGCTGGAGGAGGAGTGGCCCGACTGTGTCACTGATCAGTTTATGGCCACCCTGAACTGAGAGCCTGCTCCTTGGCTCCGTCTCTGCAGCTGGCTTTCCCGCTCCGATACCTGGGAGCTCTGCCGCACTCAGGCACCCCCGGTCTTCCTGTGACCCCGAGGGTCCTGAGACCACACTGTCCCGCGAGGGTTCCACCTCCCGCTTAGCCACTGGAGCGACGTCCCTCAGCGGAGCCGACATCTAAAAGTTCCGATTTTGTGCTCCGCGGCTCTATCACTTGCCAGAAGTGGCCGACTGAGGGCCCCCCCCATCTATCCTCCCGTATATCGCCTCGGATTCACTTCTCCGCGCATCCTACCTTCCAGAAAGTGGTCACTTTTCTGTTCAGAGAGTTGTTGCTATTCTTTTCTTCGATCTCCTGTTGAGTTGGTAGGTGTTCAGAATGGTTTGATCCCTATCCAGCTGAATTCCTGAGACCAGACGAAATCCAGGTCTCCTACTCCTCCGCCATCTTGCTCCCTTCCCCTCAGCTTATAATCTTTTAAAACAATTCTATTCTTTATATATGATTATTTAATTCAGACATAGGTACAGCAAATTTTGATTAAATGGATGAGCACAGGCTTTGGAATTAAGAGGGACTTGGGTATTACCACTTCCTGGTTGTAGGGTCTTGGATAAGTTATTTCTCTCTATACTTCTCTTTCGTTTCCTTATCTGCAAAATGTGTATCAGATCCTTTAAGGTGTAACCATGATGATCCAGATGGTCAGGCACACACTAGTCCCTCAGTAAGTAGGTACCATTCGTATTATTGTTATGTTTGCCATCTTTTTTCTGACCATTTACCAAAGCCAATATTATCTGTTCTGAAGCCATTATCTAGCCTTATTTGTCACTGAAAATTATCAAATTCTAAAGGCAAAAATCTTTATTTGACTTGAATTGTCTATTGACTCTTAATGGTACATGAGATTCACTTTGCAAAGAAATTTAAGAGCCAGCTTGTAACCTTCCCTTTCCCTGGACACATGGGGTGCTCTGGAGAGCACCTCAGTAATTACGAGAGAGAGGAAGAACTCTGCAGATGACTCTTTCTATACTTACCTCTGTTGTCTTGTATCCACCTAGGGTTGGAGTTTCTGAAATAATTAGGCCGCCGGGAAATTGTCCTTGCTCTTCTCTGAAAGTAATCATGCTTTTTACCTGTGCACTCCTTACAGAAGCTGTTGAAGAGTAACAGAGACAGAGCCCCTGTGTTACAGGCAGGGCTGGCTTTAAGAGTCATGTGATTTTTAAAAATAGCCATATTTATTTTGCTTTCTTGTGGAAAAGTGCATTTATCTTGTAGACAGTCAAGCTTCCGTCAGGTTGGGCTGCAACTCGTAAAAAAAAAAAAAAATAGGAGCTTTTAGTTTAAGGTATTCTAATCCATTTCAAAATGTTCTACTAGTGCATTACTTTCTGCATTTTGTGTGTATTGATCTAAACCTTTTATTTAGGATCTCACTAAACAAAAGGTGCAAAAAAGAATCCAGTTTTTTCAACGAAATGTCCCAGTCATGTTGTGAAGTAATTTACCACTTTATAAACGAGAAAGGTTGCCATATAGTGAGTCCAGGAGTCCTAAGCTTTATAAAGAAGGGTAATTAGAACATACTTTAGGTTGCTTTATTAAAATTGTTGGAGAAAAAGGCAAGTTACCATCAAAGATGATTTCATAATTATATCATTGCACATTAAATGATGATGCCACCTTAGTCTTTAATAAGTAAGGTCAGATACAAGAAAACCAGCATCATTTACACCCAAGGATCAGAATGGCAAGTGATTCTTCTTCAGGTAAGTGCATAGACGCTAGTGACAGGAAGCCTCTCTCAGTAAGAGAGGCTGAAGAGAAAGGGCATTTTCACAAATCTAAACCATATGTATCCTTCAAGGCTAACGTGCTCACTCTGCCATGAAGACACTCCTGGTCTCCTCCACCCTTTTGCACTTCCTGTTTATCCATATTTAGTAGCATTAGATAATTTTCTTCCTTGCTTTATAATTACTGATGGACAGGCTTTCATGGTCTCATCTGACTTTGATTCTTTAGAATATTCGTATTCCCCACAGCACAAGGCCCAGTGCATTGCAGATTACCAATAAGCATCTGTTCAGTGTATACACTCTGATTATTTAGGTCTTGCTTTGTTTCAAAAGAGGAAACAAATATTTCTTTGTTCTCTTTATTCTTGCTGTGAGAAAAAGATCAAGACAGCTAAGTATCATGTCAGGTTCTAAATGGCTAGATCCTACTTGAGATGAAAAACAGTCAGTTCTCTTTGTGTTTAAAGGCTTATGAAACCCAAAGTAGGGGGGTGGGGGTAGGAGGAGGTTGTTCAGGAAAATTTGAGGCGTGAGGATTGGGGAGAGGTGAGGGACCCAGAATTAAAATAAACACTATTATGCATACAGAAACATCCTTCTTGATTGTTGTTGATTGCAACTGAAATACAGAAGGTTTTCCTGCAGTGACAAAAATTAGAAACATAAAATACCCCCAGTGCATATGGCAGACATTCATACCATTGCTAAAGCAGAGATGTAAGAATTGTGAAAGCAGCATGGTTCAGGAGGTTAAAATAACAGGTTAGGATCTGAAGGTGAAGGGTCTACCCTTAATTTTATAGTTGAACTCTCTGACTTCCAGAAAGCAAGCATTCTTTTGATTGCTTTTCCCCTGACCTTTGAATTATGGGGAAAAAAGTGTGTGTGTGTGTGTATGTGTGTGTATCTTTTGTCCTTTAGGGAAATGAATAAACTGCTTTGAAATCTTCAGAGACAACCTGCGAGAGATTAATAGATTTATTCTTTTCTTCTAAGCTCATGTTAAACCAGCCATTTCTTTCTTTTTTTTTTTTTAAAGATTTTATTTATTTATTTGACAGAGATAGCGAGAACAGGAATACAAGCAGGGGGAGTGGAAGAGAGAGAAGCAGGCCTCCCACCAAGCAGGGAGCCTGATGTGGGACTCCATCCCAGGACCCTGGGATCATGACCTGAGCTGAAGGCAGACGCTTAACGACTGAGCCACCCAGGCGCCCCGAACCAGCCATTTCTTTTTAGGACTCATTACACACATATTTCAGAGAAAATTTGCAATAGGATATCTTAAAATTATTTCTTTTGAGCAATTTGCTAAAAGAAAGACAAATTTTATTTCGACACAGCTGACTTTCTGACTTGTTTTCGCTTAGGTGTGTGAGGGTCAGATGAAAGAACTGGATTCCTCCATCATCAATGCTGCTGATCTAGATGTTCCCAAGGACCCTTTGCTGTTCAGCATCACTCATAAACCACGCCATGGCCTCCTCATCAATGGGGTGCTTAGCAAAGACTTTCCTCAAAATAAGCAGCCTGTGAACCCTGGTCAGAAGCATGAACTTGTTCAGAACTTTTCCTTGGAACTTCTCAAGAATGGTAGATCATGTTCCACTTCTATTCATTTATTGTTGATGATTTAATAATTTAGCCCAGAAAAGATAATAATAAGCCTCAGATACAGGAAGTGAAGAAATGGCATTCAACTACTTTATTCATTTATCCCTCAAGGGTTTTCTTTGAGCTCTGGATTAATGTAGGGCATGGAGCCTCAGTTACAGATAGTGGGTAGTTAAAAAGGAAATAATATGTTTTCTTTCACTTTGGGAGCATCACTAAAAATGATATTTGTAGGGTGCCTGGGTGGCTCAGTCGGTTATGTGTCTGACACTTGATTTTGGCTCAGGTCATGATCTCATGGTTGTGGGATCGAGCCCTGTGGTGGGCTCTGCACTTAGCAGGGAGTCTGCTTGAGATTCTCTCTTCTCCCTCTATGCCTCCCACTGCTCGTGCTCTCTCTCTCTCAAATAAATAAATAAATCTTTAAAGAAAATGATATTTGTGATTTTGGGTGTTTTAGCTTCAACTTTTTCATGTCATAATAAAAAATTCCTTTTTAAAACTGCTGAGATCACAGATCTAACTTTGAAGAGATTTGTCGGCCAAAATTTCCATGTTTGAAAGAAATATAGAACCACATATAATAGCTCATTATTCTCTGTGGACATAATTTGTTCTTTAAGGAAATGACACATTGGAATAGCAGCCTAAATTGTATTTTAATTACTCTTTTTAAAAAATCAATTTTATCCCATTTTCCAAATATAAACATACTTTCAAATATTAGGGAGATGGTGGTTCTAGAATCACTGCCTACTCTCACGCTCTTTCCTGCCTTCACATATTGTTTCCCCAACCTGAACCCCGTTTGCTGGGTCAGCCAGCACCATGCCTTCAGAACCAGGTAACCTCTGACCTCCCTGAGGAGCCTCCCCAACCCCCACCCACCCGCCAGGCACTCCAGACCATCCCTTTCCTGTGTTGGCTCCATCCAGCCCTGGTTTAGCGACTTTTTCTGTCTACATTTTTCCCATTCCTCAACCAGAGTAAGCGCTCTGTCCCGTAGTTTATTTTGCAATAGTTGTGCCGCATCGTGTCACGTTTGAGTTTGGGAAAAGTTAATTCATATATTTCTCAGTTTTTATCAGTTGCAAAGAAACGAACTCTGGGACTTAAGTGATGATATTACCAAATCAATAACCATGTGTATCAAATAATACAATATGTTGTTATGGTGTTTTTCTTCTCAAATTTAAGACAAAGGAAAAGGAATAATAATTCAAATTTTGGTCTCAAGAAAGTCTGTTTTTTTAATTCGGTTAAATATTATTATTTATTATATTATTAGGTTAAATAAGCGTGCATATGAAGTTTGCACTATACAATGATTTTGAAGAAAAAATAAATGGTTTACATAAATTAATACTTTGGTGAATAACTTGGTGACATTCTGAGAGATTAGATTTTCATCTTTGTTTTTGACTCATTTATGGCTACATTTTTAAAAAACTTTAGTATATTCTCACATACGTCCCCCCACCCCAAACATACAGGACTTACAAAACTGCAACCACATTATATAATCTATTTTTTTCCCTTATCAATTATAAGACACTTCTTACTTTTTAAGTGCTGATTGAAAACATGGTTTGCAGTAACTCCAGCTTTTCATTGCATGGGCATACTGCACTGTAATTTTATACAACTGTCTTCTGTTTTTAAATATGCAGATAGCTTTTCATTTCTTGATATTACATGTTACACATAAACATATTTTACGTATATTTTTGTAACATAAATCTTAGTCCACGCCTCTTAGAATTTTTTTGGCATAAATTTTTATAATGAAATTACTTGGTAAAAAAGGTTAGCATTTATAATACTTTTAAGGAAAAATTGCCATTCCATGATATGCAGGAGCATGCCTATTTTCCTAGTCAAGAATGGGTATTTTTTAAAACTTTTGTGAATTTGGTAGTCAATAGCAGTCTCTCATTGTTATCTTAATTTGAAATTCTTAAATTATGAGTAAGATTTACCATACTTTCATGTGTATTGACCATCTATGTTTCACCTTTTGTAAATTGCTTGATAATGTCTCTTGCTCATTTTTCCATTGATTTATATTAACTTATAAGAGATCATTAAATACTGATATTTCACATTTTGGTCACATATATTACAGATAAGTTTTTCTCTATTCTATTTGCCTTTTAATTCATGTTCTTAAGTACAGAAATCACAAATTATAAGTGGCAAAATTTATCATTATTTTTCTTTACATTTTTTTCTTTTTGCATTAGGAAGATGTTCTACATTCAGAAATAAAATATTTACTTGTATTTTCTTTCAACTCTTTTAAAAGAGCTTTATTGAGATATAATTCCCATGCCATAATATCCACCCCTTTAAAACCTCCCATTCAGAGGTTTTTAGTATATCCATCATCATGATCAATTTTAGAACACTTTCATTATCCCCAAAATGAAATACCATACTCGTTAGCAGTCATTCTTATCTCTTTCTTCCTCAACCCTTGGCAACCAGTAACATATTTTTTGTCTCTATAGATTTGTCTGTTCTGACATTTCAGAATCATATAAATAGAATATATAACCTTTTGTAACTAGTCTCTTTTATTTAACATAATGTTTTCAAGATTCATCCATATTGTAGCATGAGTCAGTACTATGCCATTCCTTGTTATTGCCAAATAATATTCCATTGTATGGACATATCACATTTATATAATCCGTTCATCAGTTGATGGATATTTGGGTCACTTCCACTTTTTTTTTTTTAAGATTTTATTTATTTGTCAGAGAGAGAGAGGAGGGAGCACAAGCAGGGGGAGTGGCAGGCAGAGGGAGAAGCAGACTCCCAGGTGAGCAGGGAGACCGATGCAGGACTTGATCCCAGGATGCTGGGATCATGATCTGAGCCGAAGGCAGATGCTTAACCAACTGAGCCACCCAGGCGTCCCATCACTTCCACTTTTGACTGTGAACATTCATGTATACGTTTTTGTATGGATATACACTTTCATTTCTCTTGCGTGTGTATCTAGGAGTGGAATTGCTGGGTCATATGATAACTCTATGTTTAACATTTTGAGGAACTGCCAAACTGTTTTCCAAGGTAATGGTATCAGTTTACATTCCTACCAGTAATGTATGAGAGTTCCAATTTCTATGCATCCTCACCAACGTTTGTTACTGTCTATTTTTTTATGATAGCCATCCTAATGGATGTGAGATAGTATCTCATTGTGATTTTGATTTCATTTCCCTAATAGCTAATAGTGTTGAGCATCTTTTAATGAGTTCATTGGCTATTTGTTTATGTTCTTACATGGAAAGAGAACATACTGTCTATGTTCTTTGGAAAAATGTCTACTCAAATCTTTTGCCAATTTTGTAATTGGATTGTTTTTTATCACTGGGTTGTAAGAGTTCTTAGTGTATTTGGAATACTAGACCCTCCCTTATCAGGTATCTGATTTGTAAATATTTTCTCCAATTCTGTGGACTGTTGTTTTGCTTCCTTGATAGTATCAGTTGCAGCCCCAAATTTTTAATTTTGATGAGATCTAAATTATCTGCCTTTTTTTATTTTGTTTTGTTGTGGTCACTTGTGCTTTTGGTGTCTTATCTAGAAACCATTGCCTAAGTCAAAGTCACAAAGATTTACTCATGTTTTCTTCTAACAGTTTTTCTAGTTTAGCTCTCACACTGAGGCCTATTATCCATTTTGAGTTAATTTTTGTATGTAGTGTGAGGTAGGGATCCAACTTCATTCTATTGCCTGTGGTTTTTGAGTTATCTCAGCACTACTTATTGAAAAGACCTCTCTTTCCCCATTGAAGAGTTTTTGTGCTCTTGATGAGAATCAGTTGCTTGTAAACGTATGGGTTCGTTTCTGGACTCTCTTCTATTAGATTAATCTACATGTCTATTCTATGCCGGTTCCACACTGTCTTGATTACTGAAGTTTTGTAGTAAGTTTTGAAAATGGGAAATGTGAGTCTCCAACTTTGTTCTTTTTCAAGATTATTTTGGCTATTCTGAGTCTCTTGCATTTTCATATGAATGCTATGTAGGTTTTTAAAAAGTAGTTTTATATTTAAGTTTTTCTTCATCTAGAATTTATTTTGGTTACTGGCTTGAGGTAGGTATCTAACTATAATTTTCTCCAAGTAATGAACCACTGTTCTCATACAGTTTATTAAGTAATATATGCTTTCCTCACTGATTTCTAAAAAAGATCCTTATCAAGTACTTAAGTGTTTAAATGTGAATTTTTAACAAATTAAGAAGGCAGTGTTACTTCATAAAACAGTTTAATTTCACCCTATTGCGTTGATTAACGAACTCTCGCTGATATCAATACCTTGGAAATTAAAAAAGATTATGTGTGTTTTGGAATGGCTTAATCATAAGAAAGATTTACTTCCTCTCTCTTTCCCCCCGCCCACCCTTCTTCCAGGACTGAAGTTGATGTATGTGCATGATGACTCAGAGAGCCTTGCTGATGACTTTACAGTCCAGTTGTCAGATGGGAAACATAAGATATTAAGAACGATTTCAGTGGAGATCACCCCAGTTAATGATGAGAAACCAATGCTGAGCAAGTAAGCTCCCCGGAAAGATTCCCTTTCAGGTGTTCTAGAAAATTCTGAGATCTGGAAGACTAGGTACAAATGTCATGTCTGTCTTCCAGGGAGAAACAAGTCTTTGACAGCTCCTGTCTATCACAACTTGTCCCACCTACTCAGACACCTAGAACTTCTAGTGCAAATGTTAGATAATGTAACGTCTCCCTAACAGTTCTTAAATTCACCCTTTAATTTTTTGATTTTCCTCTAAAAGTTCTAGTTAGTTGTAAATAATTAAGAAAGACTGAACCTACTGTATGGGATGAACAGTGTACTGGGTATTTAAACACCTGTGTACACACCCACCAAAGACCAGTAGATGTATAGACTTAACTAAAGTGTTATAATATTAACAGCAGACAATCCTCCCTGTGGGTTTGACCAAACTTTTTTTTTTTTTAAAGATTTTATTTATTTATTTGACAGAGAGAGACAGCGAGAGCAGGAACACAAGCAGGGGGAGTGGGAGAGGGAGAAGCAGGCTTCCCACGGAGCAGGGAGCCTGATGTGGGACTCGATCCCAGGACCCTGGGATCATGACCTGAGCCGAAGGCAGACGCTTAACGACTGAGCCACCCAGGCGCCCGGGTTTGACCAAACTTTTAACCAAGAGTGGCTGAGGGAAACATACAAATGCCATTGCTTTCATCGTCTGGTTATTTCATGATCCACCAGTCCTCTGTGTTCCATCAGGATCAATACTCCCTTGCCACTTGATATCAAAATGATCACTTAAACGATCATTTAAAAATTCTGAGGTGATTAATTGCAGACCATCTTGGTATCTCCCTCTGTAGTTGATCAGTTCGATCATAGGGTACAGAGTCTTTATCAGTTACATTTCTGTAGCTCCAGCCATTGCTCGTATTACTGACCACCATACACAACTGTACAAGGGTAAAGCTTGAGGAGGCCCAGCTATCTGGTGCTGGGCATGGAGAAGTGTCTGCTTCTTCTGATGGTAGTTTTTTGGAAGGTTGCGTCTCAGACATCAGTTCCACTAAAAGTCTGCAGCAGAACTTTCTGTTTTCTATGATCTAGCTGGACTGTTGGACTGGGGTGACCTGGATTTATAAAAATGAAAATAGGAACGGTATTGTGGCATTACAAACCTCTTTCTGATGACCTCACTGTACCTAAGAGGAAGGGAGGTGCAAACGGGTGTTTATTAAGTGCTTACTCTGTGACAGACGCTGTATTGGCTCTTCTAACAGACATTTCCTTAAATCCTCACCACAGTTATGGGAAGTAGGTATTATTATCCTTGCTGAGGAAACTGAGACCGGACAGGTCAAATAATGGGGCACTCACTCAACTATGACTTCCTGTTTTGTGCTGCGTTCTTGCTATTAAACTGTCTGGCATAGTTTCATTGGCAGAATCACCGAATCTCCTTCAGCTCTGCTTCCAAATCCTTCTTTCTTTCTTTTCTTTTTTCCCCTCTCTCCTGTGGAGCGGAAGTTGTATTCCCTCTTCTTTCACTTTCACGTGTGTCCTCTTACCTCCTCCCAGAATGTGCTCCATGATTCTCTTCTCTTGCATCTCCAGCCTCTCCCTTCTCATTCCTTCCGCTAACAAGACACAGGGATATAATTAGTGGTGAGGAGAGCCGATTCTGGAGCCAGATTGCCTTGGTTCAGCAGCTAACCAGTTGTGTGGCCTCGGACACGTCACTTCACCTCTTTGTCAAACTCTTTGTAAGTGGGGATAGTAACAGTCTCCTCTTCATAGGGTGGTTGCAAGGGTTAAATAAAATAAAATACATAAAAGTGCTTGAAAGACCGGCTAGTACACAGGAAGTGCTCCTAAGTGCTAGTTATTATCATTATTAGCAGCTTTTCTCACCCTAAAGCCACAAAGATGACCCAGTTCCTCATTTATTTCAGTGCCAAACTCTTTGGAGGAATAGCTTGCACTATGTCCATTTCTGCCCGACCTCCCCCTCTTTATTAAAGCTGCCCCCTTAAAATTTACCCTTGGCTTTCCTACTGAATTGAATGGCTCGTCTTTCCTTGCTGGACCTTGTTAGAGCCTTTGACTCCATTTCTTTGATATTCCCTTCAGATGCTGTAGTAAGATGCTTTCGGTTCTCTGGGTCATGCTCCCTCAGTACCCCCTGTGACTGTAGTTGCTCTTGCCCAGGCTCACTGTCAGGGTCACGTTACCAGTGCCTCGATGTGTCACTCCACTTGTCCTGTGGCTCAGGGCCTTCTGTGAAGCTCATTTGGCCCGAGTCCAGACAGAGCAGAAAACACTCTGATAGGTCTCAGCCTATAGGATCTAGTGCATAAATAAATGTCCCACACTCCCATCCTTCAGAAACACAATTTAAAAAAAATATTTTATTTTATTTTATTTATTTTATTTGAGAGACAGCCAAGCACGGGCAGAGAGGAGATGGAGAAGCAGGTTCCATCCCAGGACCCCGGGATCATGACCTGAGCCAGAGGCAGACACTTAACTGACTGAGCTACCCAGGTGCCCCAGAAGCACAATTTGAAGCATATTCTATATGATTCTTCAAAGGATCTCCAGCAGCGCTGAGCCCCAGAGTCGTAAAAACACCTTTTGTTGCCTTATTCCTCCTTCCCTGTCTTGCTCCTCACTTCTCTCTCTTGCTTCCTGGGATCACTTCGCAAATAAATGACCTGCACCACAGTCCATGTCCCATGGTCCCTTTCAGGGTAACTCAGACTATGACATACTTTCTTCTCCTTTGGCCACTCTGATATCTAAATCTGACACTTTTCTTCCTACCAGACTCCTTATCTTCTTCATTACAGTGGCTTCCTTCCTGTTTTGATTAATCTGTTTCTATTAATGGCACCATTCATCTCCAGAATCAACCAGTCAACTGCTTTGTTGGCCTTCTAGAGTAATGGGATTCATATTCTCTAGGAAAGAGGTGGGCAAAAATCACCTCCTCCTGCCAGGGAAGATGTCAGTCCTTCAGAGGCAAGAAAGTCACCAAGTAAAAGAGGTTAGAACTGAGGTGTCTGGGCTTTGGCTCTTCAGCAGGAGCGTGGAAGGCTCCTGAAATGTCCTTTATCTGCATCCCAAGGAAACATCACCAGTTTTCATCAGAAACCAAGCTGTCAAGTTGGACAGCGTTTGGCCATGTGTGGTGACCAAAACCGAAAGCTAGAAACAGAGGTGGAAAGAAATCCCTTCCTCACTTTGGTGAGACCAGGGAAAATGGCTATATCGGCTGGGAGAGGAATAGCATGAGAGGGGACTTGCAAAGCCACAATTGCAGTATTTATGGTAGAAGCAGCAGTTGCTCATCCCAGCCCCGTCTTCAGGATGCCAGGGGCTAACCTGGCAGCTGTAGTATTTGGAAAAGATCAGTCGCTGTGAAGAGAATGCTCACTACCTGGAACGTTACCAGGGAAACGGAGGGTAATGTAGAGGGCCATGGACTGCCTAAGTATCACCAAACTCATAATGGTGCTTCATAAAGGGTACCAGAACCCCGGTGGCTAAGCCATTTAATCTTTAAGTAAGTTTTTATCTGTAAAATTTGAATGATAATATCTTGCTTACTTATGTCACGGAGCTGTTGTTTTAGTAAAATACTGGAAATAAAATCATTCTGTTAAATAAATTACAACATAAAATGGTGTAGTTCAATGCACAGAAACAATCAGAAGTACTTAATTACTTCACACCACATTCATTGTTGCTGACTAATTGTCTTTTAGGACTTTCATGTGTAAAGTGAAATGAGAGCCTGTTTCACGAGTCCGACTCTGCATTTGCAGTACTTTGGATAGGGAATAGCATTTCCTAATTGTTGAAGATTGGGAACTGTAATAGTCATTGTGAATGACCCCTGCGAAAGCAATGCCTTCTATTTTCCTATCAACCTAGACATCTTCCTTTTTTACAGGAAGGCTGAAATTACAGTGAAAATGGGTGAAACTCGTATTATTTCTAGTGCCATTCTTTCAGCCATAGATGAAGACTCACCCAGGGAGAAGATTGACTATTTGTTTGAAAGCCTTCCCCAAAATGGGCAGCTTCAACTTAAGGTTAGTGGCCTTTTTACTTTTATTTTTCAAAACTAATGTAGCAGGTATAAATTTTCTTAGTGCACAGATTTCTATAACTGGATTTATTCTCCAATAGCCACATTTTGCCCAGAGGTAGAAATTTTAATTTTCTTAGTTTGGGGTAAACTCACACCATGCTAAATTTTCTTACTCAACTCAGGGTAAATTCAATCAGTATTAAGGTTCTTCATTGTTCCTTCTCCCCCGGAATTGTACCTAAACTTCGGGAGAGGGGGTGACGGGGGTAAAGCAAGTTGTCTAATTGCTGATGAGAACCAGGCATCCTTTGAGATATCTTAATTCCCCGCAGATTTAAAAAAATTTTCAAATAGACTCTGTAGAGCACTTGTTGTGGATATTAACAACCTGATTCTAAAGTTTGTATGGAGAGGCAAAATGCACAAAATAGTGAACAAAAAGGAGAACAGAGTTAAAGGAGTGGGGCTGCCTGGCTTTAGGACTCACTATAAAGCTGCATTAATTCAGGTAGTGTGGATCTGATGAAAGAACAGACGAATAGATCAATGGAATAGAATAGAGAGCCCGGAAGTAGACCCTCACAAAAATATAGTCAACAGATCTTTGGCAAAAATACAGTGGAGAAAAGACAGTCTTTTCACAAATGGTGCTCACCAGTCTGATTCAGACTGTGTGCTTGATGCCCAAGGAGTAGCCCAACACACAGGATAGATCAGTCATTTGAAAAGGTCCCATGAGTAATCCATCAAAATGTTTGTTTGAATGATGGATGAAGGCTAGCAACAACCACCACCAACCATCCCCAATGTGATTATTTGACTGAATGCTTAACTTTTAATATAATGTCGACACAGTCCTAGAAGAGCAGCAAGGATTCATTCTGCGTGGAACAGCTTGATTATCTTAGGTCATAGGCACCATAGAGAATCAGAGTGACGAGCAATCACTGATTTAAATTGAGGTACAGCTGTGTCCTTATTTCATTTCAAAGAGTAATGAAGCAGAAATGCAGTGAGAGCTCACACATTTGGGTAGCATGGGAAGCGAAGTATTTTGGGTATGTGAAAATCCAGATGGGTCCACGTTCCCAGTATGGCACCACATAGTTCTCTCCCAGCTCCCTTGGGCTTGGCCAAGCCTCTCCGAGACCAGAGACGAGGACTCTAGGACTCCTGGACTTTCTCAAGGGTTCTTGTGTTCTTTTTGACCTTCCTTAGTTTGCCCCACCTTGAATCTGACTCTTATTTTTTTCCTCTTTGGGGGCTTGCAAAGGATTTTGTCAAGTTGGACCCGGCATTTGGGAGTGCAAATGGGGAATTGCATGGAGGTGAGAGACAGGAAAAGCTATCTTCTTCTGTATTTACTTTTCATGAAGATTGCAAAAGAAAAAAGTTAAATAGAATTGCAGGCTGTCCAGTTTAAAACCCAAAAGAGACTGTTTTAAAAACTAAATCTGCAAATAGATCTTAGGATGGAAACACATAATGACCTTAAATATTACAACATAACTAACTTTTACCAAGTGAGCACTGGGTCAGAACATACCTCCGTACAAACATCAGATGAGCAGAAATATTAAAGGGGAGGAAACTTTATCAAATAGGACGTGAAGAGAAGTGGTAACACAATGAGGAGAGGGGAGGGCGAAGCACTTTTGCCAGGAACTGGGAGTCTGTGGAATAATGTGTCAGAGGAAAGGAAAAAAAAAACCCCAAAAAACCATGGATTTAAATTTCTATTTTAGTGTCTTAAACCGGACAAGGAAAAGTACAAGATAATATTGTACAGTAAATTTGTAAGATGACGTTTTTCTTGAATTATGTCAAGTGACTTTCATGAGCTATTCTTAGGGAAAGTTATGTATCTTCAGAGAATAACAAGAAAATTATTATAAATCAGATACAGATTTATTATGTTTTGAATACTCTCAGTTGTCAGTTCCCCCTAGCATAAAAACCTCTTTTAATTGAGAATACCACAATTTCTGCCCTGAGTTTGGTACAGAATATATGCTTGACTGATGTTAGCTTGTTTTTAGAAGATTCTGATAAAAAATAATATATGGTATTTGCAGTTACATTTTTTTGGCTGACTCAAGATATAAACAGAGGGAATGACTGGGATCTTGATAATTTTCTTTGGGCTTCCGTAAAGCTGGAAAATGTACTGGGAGTAAATCTATTCGTTCTATTTTTGTTTTATCTACTTCAGATAAGTCCAGTGATAAACCAGTTTGAAAAAATAAGTTTGCTTAATTGTATAATGATAGGAACTAAAAAAAAAGGAACCCTCAAATGAAACATATTTAATTTTTAAAGAATCAATTTCAGGAGCTCGATTACCCACCTGCTCTCATTAATTGGAATATTTAATCAGCTATGATTGCTCATGATAAATACCTTGGAAGTAGCAGCACTGTTGAATTGCCACACGACTGTCAAAAAATCTTTTGGTTGGAGGCAGTTTTTTCCCAAGGTCTTAATTTGTTTTAATGTATTTCTTTGAAACGAAAAAAATAAGGTAAAATGGCAAAAAAAATTGCATCTGGAGTTTCGCTGAAATATCATTTCTATTTGAGGCTTACAGGGGGTATGGAAAATGTCCACTAACATAGCTGGGGAAGAAAAAACACAAGCGGCTGACTAACTCTGGCACCTTTCAGATAGGGAGGAACTGGGTCCCTCTCTACCCTGGCATGAAATGCACTCAAGCGGAAGTGGATCTGAACTTGCTCAGATACACACACACCGGGGCGATGGATTCCCAGGACCGAGACAGCTTCACCTTCTACCTCTGGGATGGTGACAACAGATCACCAGCATTTGACTGTCACATCACCATCAAGGATATGGGAAAAGGTAAAATCATCTCTCTCAAGGTTTTTTGGGACCAAGTTTTATAACCAGAAGTGAACTGATGTAAGCACTCAAAGGTTTTCAACTAACTCCCTTCCTCCCATCCATCCATCCATCCATCCATCCATCCTTTCTTGCCCCTCTCCTGTTCTCCCTACCTCCCTCTCTTTTTGACTTTCTTTCTTCCATCCTTTGTATCTGAAATTCCATCATTTATGATTTGCTTCCCTGACTCCTCACCTGCTCTGCCTGGCAGCTATGAGATTCATGAGAGTAGCCCATCTATTTGCTGTTGTTAGAATTTCAGAAAGCGTATTGGAAATCCAGCCTTGCCCACAACATGGCGGCACAGGCTGCTTTAAGAGTCAGGGTTTTCTGCTATAAGTAACATTTTACCAAATCAATGTGATAACTCTAGTTTTATTTTCAGGAAGAGAGTTGTTACTTGAAAACGAAGTTTCAGAGGAAAAGCATTTCCAATATAATAATAAAAAGAAATACACATTTTAAAATTTAAAAATCACAAAAAGGAACTTTGTCACTGAAAAGGTTAGACTGTTGCTCTTTTCACTGTGAAAGTGCTAATAACAACTCTTTTGGGGACAAGGGAGAACACCATGAGATAATAAGCTGCTCTTGAATTAAGCAGACCCATTGGTATAATAGGACTTAGTAGCATATAAAGGGTAGAAGGAGGGGGGTGAAAAAAAATACTGGGAAGGAAGCTCAACAAGGCAAAGTGTAAGCCCTTGATACCCATCTGTCACTACCCCATAATGTTGCTTAGAGTTTATGTGAAGAAGGTACGTTCATTTCTTGTTCATCTGTATCATCCCAGAATCTCTATATTCCTAGGACCAAGCAAATTCTTGGATCTTCAGTGCATTCTTGATTGACAGAATGCTTCCTTTTTTGCCCTGTTGCCAGGAAGCTCAGAGGGCAGTACAAATCTTATATCACATATGTGATAGAATTACAATTATCCTGAATCTTTCTCTTTTTAGTTTCAGTCAGCTTGATTGATTTTGAGATGTTTATTTGGGGTTCTAAAATAACACATTTTATTTGCTTGTTTCCTGGTTGTAAAATATGCTCCTTGAAGATGGCCAATAAGTGACCCTCAGAGAAGCTAGATATTATTGTACGCATTTCTTTTCTTTCCACAAAAGTAAGGCTACTATGTTCATCGTCAATACATGTCCAGGCAAAACGTAATGCAACATGTAATGTATCGTGCAGACAGCTAATGTATTAGGACAGACTGCCCTTGGCTACTAAGCATGATGCATTCACTGGGGTGAAGGAGAGTTCTGTTCTATGCAGCCATCTGGGGATTTTTTCCAACTAGAAGATCCTTCATCTCTGAAGGCCTTGGAGTCTCTCCGGAAACGAAAGTGAAACGTGGAGGAAAATGAGAGGATGCCTGGCCTGGGCTTGGAGGTCCCTGTCTTCTGCACCTTCCAGTGGCTGAATCATAGTCACATGCCCCATTGAGGGAGGCTGGACAGTGGAAGGTCTAGCGGTGTGCCCAAGAAGAAAGGAAAACGAGACTGGCGAGCGCCTGGCCAGTCTCTGCCACAAGGGATGTGGGATTCTTTTCTGAAAGGATTTGTGAATGCTTACGTCAAACAGATACATTAACCTCCTAGCATTTTCAGAAGTTCCAAATTCCTTCCCTTTGCTTCTTTTTACATCGTGGTGTGTTTTATATCTATATGGTGTCGTATTTTTTAAAAACTTAGTGTGAATTTTCTCAGGTCATAGCATAACTTGATAACTGTCATTGTTCATCTCTGAATAAAACTACACTGAATACTTAGACTAAGCCATAACCCTAATATTGAGCATTTGGGTTATCTCCATTTGAGAGCAATTATAAATAACATCCGGCCTTCCTGTTGTTCTGTGTCTTGTGATGTGCACACTGGCCAAAATAATGTGGAGATCTTTGAGAGAAGCTTAAAGGGACATTGTCTGCAGTTGACCTTGAACCATACTCTGCTGTCACAATGCTGAAAAACTGCATTGAGGGAAAGCCCAGATGCTCTTCCTCCTCTCAGATCCATCTTCTGCTCCTCGTGAAACATTCTGTGGGTGATTTTTGTGTCCCCGGCTTTGTTCATTCTTCTTACTCCTTTGATGTATTCATCTGGACTCCCAGGAGGCAAGCCCCATCTGGGGCCCAGGTTTTGATTTTAAAGTTAGGATGCTCTTTGATTCTCCATTGCACCTAAGTTGGATAGCATTTTGAGTTAAAAGCACCAATAATCTACCCAAAAGACTAATTTAATCATCTGAAACAGTTTCTCAGTCTTAGCACTATTGACATTTTGAGATAGATAATTCTTTGTTGTAATGGACTTTCTTATGCATTATTGGACATTTAGAAGCATCTCTGGCCTCTACTGATTAGAAGACTGTAGGAACCCCCAGTTATGACCACCGAAAATGTGTACAGACGTTGCCAAATGGACCCTGGGGGGCCAAAGTTGCCCCTCGTTGAGAACCACTGGCCTAGTTGTACCTCCTTGATATTTTATTTTTTCTTCATGGGACTGAATGTCTTTTCAAATTTTATTGACAATTTGTATTTTTAAATTTAGGAATGGCTTGGCATTTACTTCACACGTATTTCCTCTTGGATAGTCATTCTTTTAGTATTGATATTTAAGAGCTCTGATACATTACAGAGAAGCAACAAAATAATCTAGTGTTCAAGTTTGTGCTCTTGAGTCAGATGGCTAGAGTACAAATTCTAGCTCCATCTTTTATTATTTTTTTAAGATGATTTATTTATTTATTTTTTTGACACAGAGAGAGAGAGATCTCTATCTCTGGGAGAGAGGGCGAGCACAAGTAGGGGAAGGGGCAGAGGGAGAGGGAGAAGCAAATGCCCCTCTGAGCAGGAAGCCGGATGCAGGGCTTGGCCCCAGGACTCCAGGATCATGACCTGAGCCAAAGGCAGATGCTTAACTGAGTGAGCCATCCAGGCACCCCTAGCTCCACCTTTTATTAATTGTATCATGATTAACAAGTTAGTTAGCATTTTTCTCTATCTTAGTTTCCTCATTTATAACCTGGGAAATATTATAATACCCTACCTCACTGTTGGTGTGAAGGTGAAACAGCCTTACCCCTGTGTCTGGCACAAAGTAGAAGCTCAATATTAGAGTTATGATCATTTTTTTTTAAGTGAATGAGGTGAACAAAATTGATTATCATCCTTAGTTTGTAAAACTGCATCATTCGTCCACATGTGACCTACATCTCCTTCACTCATTTATGCATTTCATACACTCATTCATTTGTTCTCTTTTAAATACATAATACACAGCTGCGCAACCACCATACAATTCAAGGACTGGAGTATTGACAGTAATAAACATCTACCCATGGGCTCCTCCCATCCTTCAGAGAGAACCATCATCCTGAATTCTGTGTTCATATTCTTACTTTTGTTTATGGTTTTCGGGGACTTGCTCATGCAAGGAACAAATGGTAACAAGCTACCTCTGTGTTGTCCCATGTGGCTCTAGTTCATTCATTTTGCTACCGTATACAATTCAGTTGTATGATTAGACCACAGTTTGCTTACATATTTACCTTCTGAAAAGACATTTGGGTTGTCTCCAGCATTTTCAATGAAGACAGGCCTGCAGTGGCCATTCTGGTACCCATCTCCTGGGGGCCAGTGTATGCTTCTCTCCAGCACACAGCTGGAGTGGAATCGCTGGGACATGACGTATGTGAATATTCTACTCTTTACAGCATAATGCCAAATCGTGTGCCCCTTTACATTCCTACCAGAATTGTACGCGAGCTTCTACATCCTCTTCAGCACTTGATGTCATCAGAATTCTAAATTTTTGCAAATCAAAGAGTTACAACATGGTTATAACTTCTTGTGATCTTGATTTGTGTTTCCACGGTGATTAATGAGATTTGAACAACTTTTTGTATCTTTGTTGGCCATATGTGTTTCCCCTGCTGTGTCATATCTGCTCCAGTCTTTTGCCTAATTCTTTTATTAACCATAATTATATCAACCTTTCTATACCATATTAATTTTGATTTCTGCAGTTTGGCCTTTGCTTTTCACATTTACCTTTGGACATTTTTTTTTTTTTTTTTTTTAAATTTGGGTCCTGACTGCAAGCTCTTCTGCTGTGCAGGTGATATTGTCATCCTTGTGAAACCGCTGGTGGTGTCTAAAGGTGACCGAGGTTTCTTGACGACCACCACTCTCCTTGCTGTGGATGGAACAGACAAACCCGAGGAACTGCTCTATGTCATCACCTCCCCTCCGCGGTATGGCCAGGTTGAGTATGTCCGCTATCCTGGAGTCCCCATTACAAGCTTCAGCCAAATGGACATAGCAGGACAGACAGTCTGCTATGTACATAAGAGCAAGGCAGCTGTCTCCCGTGACACCTTCAGGTGAGCCCCAAAGAAACTTTTCAGAACCCCTTCTCCAAATGAATGCTTAGATAGACCAACGGTGGCAGAAAATGAGTTCTTTTCCAACTCTGATATAGCAGTGGTCTTCTACTGCCTAGATGTATGAAAGGTGGAGGTGTACAATGAATTGAACAATAGCAAAGCAAGAAAGTGTTTAAATAAAAAGTTGTTATATATTTGTTGTTTAAAAATAAAGCACATCTAAATCTCAGCTGTTCTAAGGGGAGGGTTATAAAGAGCTGAGAGTCCCAGCTAAAGAGAGACATAGAAAACTAAATTCCTGCTTTTGGGGGTATCTTTTTCTATCTGAAGAAAGGTATTTAGTAGTAAACATTTGGCACAAGCAGACATTGCCTTTTGTCAGTATATGTTCCAGGAACTATATCATAAATCATGTTGTCATAAGGTGGATCGTGTTTCCCCCTGGAAACAATGTTACAATTGGGGGCTGTGTACCTGTTTAAGAATTCTGTATCAAATAAATCATTGGGATGAATAACAATCTGGTGAAAAGACAAAGATACAACATTAGTGAAAGTCCACATTCATTTAAAATATTGAAGTCTATTTCCAGTCACATAAAGCAAGACAAACTCTAGAGGAGCTCTCATTAGCAGTTCTCAAAGCTGGTTGATCTCAAGGTCTTTGATAGAAATCCATATCCCCAGGGCTGGAATGAGAATCTAGAAATCTTGGAGCGAGCATCCAACTCTTACTTCAGCTCAGGTCATGATCTTAGGTTCCCGAGATCCAGCCTCTCGTTGGGCTCCACACTGGGCATGGAGCCCACTTAAGATTCTCTCTCTGCCTCTCCCTCTGCCCCTCCCCTTAACCACCCCCCCCCCACTGCACTTGCTCACTCTCTCTCTCTCTGTCAACAAATAAAAAATAAAAAGAATCTAGAAATCTTGGCTGGACTGGCCTTTGGGGGAATCATTGTACATATGCAGTCCTGAGTTTTGCCACTTAACATGGAGGCCCTGAGACCATTGGTTCATTTGCCATACTTGAAGAGCTTCTGACCCCCAGTACAGTTTTCACCGTGTCAGAATACAACTTCCAGTGGGGCACCTGGTTGGCTCAGCCAGAAGAACATGCAACTCTTGATCTCGGGGTTGTGAGTTTGAGCCCAGGTTGGGTGTAGCGATTACTTAAAAATAAAATCTTTAAAAAAAAAAGAATACAATCTTCAAAAGAGCACTGTAAACTAATGTAAATGTAGCATTTATCATAATCATACATTTTATCTCTCTAAATTCAATATATTTGCTGTGATGAACATTGTTTTAATGTCAGTAAAGATGATTTTGCTTGCCTTTTTGGAATTACGATTTGGAAAGATGATTGGGACAATCGACTGTTAAAAAATTTGGGGAAGTTTGAACTAATATTTTCTTTTTTTTTTCCTCTTGACAAAATGTCCTTAACAAGTAGATAATCATTTGGGGTTGCTCAATATCTAACTAACAATTCAATGTCTGAGTGTTGCTGGGCATTAACTAAAATGTCAGATGTGGGGATTCCTTTTCATGCTGGTTCTTTTGTTCCAGAAGTGGTAGAGTAGAGCTGTTAAGACACAGGCTTTGGGGTCAGTTACCACCTCCATTACTTACCGCTCTGTGGTCAAATCACACCTCCTCCTGTGCTCTTGTGTCCTCTTTGTGAAAAGAAATGATGCTCATACTACTTGTTTCACAGGGGTGGTGGGAGGTGTAAATGAGTTTATGCATGTAAAGTACTTTTAAAAATATGTGGCACATAGGAAGAATGAAATAAGTATTAGCTGCTCTTATTACTACTATTATTGATATTATTGTTCTTATCATTATTTATTATATTCTTTCCTTGGCCCCCTTTCTCTGCCAATGTTTACAATACTAAGATTAATCTTGAAGGAGGAAAGAAATTACAAAGAAGAGCGACGATTGTTCTTTTTTTCCCTGGTTACTTATGGAGGTTGGGTGCTTCTTGGCTTAATACGTGTATATCAGATTCAGGGCTTTTAACTTTACGCCCACTTCTGGAACTGCTTATCCCTGTCCATTCCCACTTTCCCCAATCAGGGCCCACGGGAGAGTCTGTGGAAGACGTTAATGACCGTTTGGAGAAACCAGTGACCCTGCTGGAGAAGCCAGTCAATGAATGCATATAGATGTCCAGAAATCAAGTTTAGATATTAATTAGATGGTGGTGAGGAGCAGAGAATGAAATACAAAATTTCTGTATGTGAGGATTGATGATACTCTAAAAATATCCTAATCCACATCTGTAGAAAGTCATACGAGATAACATTTTAGAAATTATTTATCCTAGGAACTTTTAATTTTTATTTATTTATTGGTTTTTTTTTTTAGAGGGGAGAGGGGCAGAGGGAGAGGGAGAGAAAGAATCTTAAGCAGGCTCCATGCCCAGTATGGAGCCCGACGTGGGGCTTGACCCCACAACCCTGAGATCATGACGTGAGCCGAAACCAAGAGTCGGATGCTTAACTGACCGAGCCACCCAGGCGTCCCAAGAATTTTTTAAATATTTAGATCTTCAAGAGAGTTACTGGGAAGATTGATAAAAATACATTCTTGACTCTCACTCCAGAGAGGTGACTTTGCTGAGTCCAGTCTTGGGCCAGAAATCTGTATTTTTCAAAGCTCTCCAGAGGATTCTGATGTAGTCAGGACTAGCAGTCACTGGTCTGGTCCAGTCCATTGTTCCAAGTACATTCTATGGAGTTTGAGGATTTACAGAAGCCCTCTTGGGGCCTCCCAGAGACAGAGCATGAAGGAGTTGAATTGGTGAGGCTCTGGGACCCTCACCCTAGTTTACTGATAGTGCTTTGTTTTGGTTCTTTTATTATTTTTTAGTTTGTTTTCCACACTGGGCTCCTGGGCAGGATTTTCTTTTAGCAAAAAGGCTCTGGCTCTATTTCCCAATGTGAGTAATTTGCACCGCTGATGATACAAAGATGCAAAATGATGTGGGGGGCGGCTGGGTGGCTCAGTTGGTTAAGCGACTGCCTTCGCCTCAGGTCATGATCCTGGAGTGCCAGGATCGAGTCCCGCATCGGGCTCCCTGCTCGGCAGAGAGTCTGCTTCTCCCTCTGACCTTCCCCCCTCTCATGTACTCTCTCTCTCTCTCAAATAAATAAATGAAAAATCTTAAAAAAAAAAAAATGATGTGGGTTGATACAGGGAGAAAGCAATAAATGACAGGGAATCCAGAGTGAGAAACTAGTCCCTCGTAGTTCTGACAGTCTTCCTGATTGTTTCAAGAAAGAAATCTCAGGCTGGGGCTCGTATGGTTTTAACAGCTCTTCGGTATTAACTGCTTTCCTTTTTAGCAGACAGTACTGGCCTTGGGTTCCACGCCATTGGGCCACAATACCTAGCTAGAATTAAAAACATCATTTTCTTGCATTTATTTTTGCAGTATTTATGGTGATTAGGTTTTTAGTAGTAAACATTTTCAGCTTTTCTAGTTAAAAGATTGCCTCTTAAATACATTTATTTAAGTACAAGAGTGAGGTGACCTAAAGCAAAATAGTAATAAGGGTACAAGTCGTACAAGAAGATGGCAAAAATTATGAAGGTGTTGTTTGAAGGACTCAAGACTGGGAAACAAGGGTCGAAAAACATTGACTTAGTCCCATCCCTTCATTTCCGCATAGGAAACCTAGTATTGCTTGAATACCTGCGATGCCTCAGGCAGTGTACTAAACTCTTTTTTGTCTATCATTTCCCTTAAGCCTTACGCCCCTACCTTGAGAGAGATGATATGTTCCCATTTTATGCACGAGAAAACCAAGGTTCCAAGAGGCACTGAAAGTCATCTACGTGGATGTAACTGCGTATCAGCTGAACTGGGGAGAAGATCTCATTTTTAAGAGATTTTTCCATTGTCCCAACAATTCATGGAGAAAATGCACCTGTGTGAAGAAACCCCCCCCTCAGTGTGTCATTCTGATGTTTGGCGGGCAGTTTTACATGTTTATAATGGAAGAGCCTAACATCTGCCCAAGACCCTTGTTTTAATCTTGTCATTTCACTTCCCCAATCATGGGCTGCTGTGTTGTTTGTCGAGTGGAGCTAAACCAAAGCTGAAAGTCGGTTTTAATGAAAGTGTGTGATTGTGGTGCTTTTTAAAAATTAAATATATGCAACCAATCTAATCACCCAAATTTATGTTGCTTGCTGTTAAATCTGGCAAGGAATTTGGCTGGGTAGAGGAGATAAATTCTACGGCAGAGGATTTTTGCCGCCTTCTCTTTTTAATGTAAGATATGGCAGCATTAATTAAACGGTGGAGTTTAATGGTCAGATTTTACCTTCTGCAAAAATATTTTGTGAATCCTAAATTTCCCCTGCATTGTTTGGTGCTGCTGGCCTGGAAGAAAGATTTGGCAGCACATTCGAGGACAGATGACACCAAGTGATTAGCAAGCTGACTTCAGCTGCTGCCAGCCGGGGACTAAAAGAACATGCTAATGTCCTCCATTTTGACATGCTGGCTGGACTTTGTTTTTTTTTTTTTTTTTTCCTGAGGAACTGGCTCTATTTATGATTCCATTTTTATCTTTTAAATGCCATGACAGATGGCAGATTCTTCAGCCAACTCTATTGCCAGGAAATGCAGAAAGCCTGAAAGCACCATGGTAATGGTGAAATCAGACCAGGCAGGCACCCTAGACAAATCTGAGAGTCATTCCCCAAATTTCATGAGGACAGTGGTCAATCCTGGCTGTATCTCTTTTCAGGCGGGCTTAATGAGGGAAATTAAACAAAAACGGATCCCCAGAAGAAGCCACTACCTTGATACCACCAGCTTCTTAACCTTGGAATGGATAACATCATAGCAATGGCACTGTTGTTTTAAAACTTGAAAATAGATTTGGAAGGTTCCTTTGGGGGCAGCGGGGGATAGCATTTGGAAGATCATCTGGTCAACCTTGGCAGACGCGAACAGCACTGACCTTGGTGCCCTTGTTCTGCTAGGCTTATTTTGACTGGGAAGCCAACCATGACCATTCACCCTGTCTCCCTCTGATAATGTTTCTCTGCCCGTGACTGGTTTGCATTGTTACTTGTGAAAGTGGAATGAGGTGTTTGATCCAGTCATGTTTAGAAATTTCATCCTTTTTACCACTGGCTTATTAGCTTTCGGTCAGCACAGGCAGCTGCTTGGTGTCTCAGCTGGGAACACTGGCCTCGGTAAACGTATTTCTTACTCTTATACGGTCCCTGGCTTCCCTTGCCCTCAGTCCCATCTGTCTGATGGCAGGCTGCCGATTTCCGACGTGGTCAGATCCCCATCATCAGGCAGGGAGGAGTCAGAGACGGACAGCCTGAACTGTAAGATAATTTCAGTGTCCTCACGCAGGTCATGCGTTGGTAGATAATTATGGCTGTCCTGAGACTGAGCTTCGAGGTGTTTTCGGAATTCAGTCTCCATAGGGGAAAGTCGGAACGGCCCCCGTGACTCACTCAAGCACCCCTGAAGCTCCTTACTCCTGACCCCCATCTCTCTCCTCTTTTCGCATTTCTTCTTCAACCATATTTGACATGCTTTTAATGGGGCACAAATTCTTTAATTTCCGTGAATCATACTAATACTAAAAATGCATTTCTTTTCGCTTACATTTGTGCTACTCCATAATAACAGCTGATTTAAAACTTTCCACAAGAGCACATTGTGAGATAGGGACCTGATAGAGAGTAGAGAGCCACTTTATTTGAAATGGGAGGCGTGAAACGTGTTTCTGGAGGGGTGAAGTGGAGAAAAGAGAAATTGGAGACACCCAGGGAATGCCTAGTCTCCTTTTCTTTTACTTCGGGTTAGATGATAGGCTCCAGGGAAGGAGACCTGAAAAAGTAACAGGAAAACAATGGAATAAAAGCATAATTCCATGAAAAGCTCTCCCTGAGAAACAGATCATGATTTTCATCTTAAAAATGCATATCACTTGACATTTGAAACTGCCAAAGTGACTAGTAAGTACAAAGATGACAAACACACAGATATTTTTCTGGGTGCGTGTCTTCTTGCTTTTTCAAAAATAACTTATTTTGTAAACACTCATGATCCAGCAATGAAATTCTCCTATTTGCTTCAAACATACTCAGTAAACGTTTAGCTTTACAAAAGAAAAACTGATTGTTTTTTTTTAAGGAAACTATGTGATATTTCACTCAGTGTACAATTCTAAAGTTAGTATCTTTGTTCAGATTGTAAAAATAATGCTGTGGAGAAAAAAAACCAGGTTATATTCTTTAGAAGTCAAGGTGTGTGAAATGTCAAAAATTTGCTTTATTTGAAATTTTCCACTTACTGAGTTCACTTAGCAAAAAGGAATAGATTTGTTTTTCTGTGCATCACATCGTATTTTTCCTTGTAGGCAGTCTTATCAACTAGATAATTAGAAAGCTCAAAAATTTTAGCTTAGCCTTCAAAGTGAAATCTCTGCTCAGCCAAACTGTTCCTTTCCTTTCTGTTCAGTTGCTCCTTTCTCTGAGCCCTCTTCCTCAGGTGGGCTGGTCGACTGTTAGTGCTCATACAACCTCGTTTCAAGCAAAGCATCGACCCTTAAACCCTGAAGGACAAGACACATTTTACAAAGAATAAAGAACTTGTTAGTCAAATTTGTCAGATTAGTAAAATAAATATAAACCTCGTATCTTCTCTAGTTAAAAAGAAAAAAAAAGAACATCCAAAGAAAATTCTTTTATAATTTCAGGTTATATTCTACAAAAACATTTTTTTTAGAGTTTTTTTTTACATCTGTGGAATATAAGAGTATCTCCTCCATGAATATTTCTGGCAACCACAGTACATGGGGAAAAACTAACAGGTACAACTCCATGATTATTTCGAAGTACACCTCTTTGGTCTACAGTGAATTCGTCAACTCCACTTGGGAGTAGTGATTTGCTAACTTTGTGGAGTTTCAGTAGTGCATTTGGTTTGCTTAATTTCATGATACTCTCAATTGCTCTTCAAATCAAACTTATACATGGACACGTCCTAGAGATCATTTCGATTGGTTTTTGTGTTGACATTGGCCGTGGTGGGTGGACTGGATTTAGTGATCAATAAAATCAAAAGCACATTATGGAATCACAAATCCAAGGGTGTGTGAGAGATTTTGTGTACCTTGAGTTGATATCATTTGAGCGTTCTCTTTATCATTCTGCAGTGGTGCTCAGGTACCACAAGTCTGTCTTTGTGATTTGTTAAACTGGCCTGTATTAAAAACTCTGTAAGAGCAGGAGGTATGGGGTCCAGAAACCTGGTTCTAATCCCAGCTCTGTCTCCTACTTGCCTTATGATCTCCTGCTACGTTGTGTACCTTTCTGCTGTAATTTTTTTTCTTTAAATTAGGTAAGTAATCCTTGTCTAGCGTAACTCCCATATATATTGTAAGGGGCAAATGTAGAAGCACAGGAAAAATATAAGAGATTAGAGCATCACATGATGTTTTAAAGTTTGATGGTCCTTAGCAATCATCTGGTCCAATCTTTTACTTTCCAGAAGGGTGAAAATGAGGCTCGGGGAGGGGAGATGAGTTAGGCATGATTACGTGGCTGAGTAATGTGATTTCCTGTTAAGAAATTTACCATGAAGGGACGCCTAGGTGGCTCAGTCAGTTAAGCGTCTGCCTTCGGCTCAGGTCATGATCCCAGGGTCCTGGGTTCGAGTTCTGTATCGGGCTCCCTGCTCAGCGGGGAGTCCGATTCTCCCTCTCCTGCTCCCCCTGCTTGTGCTCTCTCTCTCAAATAAATAAATAAATAAAATCTTTTTTAAAAGAAGGAATTTACCACAAAAATACATGAATAAAATGAAATAGCCAAAATCAGTCATTGGATTGGCCCCCAATTATCAGTCTTAAAAGCTTACCTTATTAAATGCCTACAAAGAAAATACAGTTGCAAAATTATAAACATATAAAATGAATGTATTCTTCAAACTCACGCAAGGGGTCTACTTGTATGTGAAATTCCTATTTGGGGCAAGGGATTCTAAATGCTGACGAGCCTGAGAAATCCCACTGGCAGAATTAGCCTGCTTGATCACATGAGTCTGCCGCCAGTGTTGTTGAGAAAATACTTTTGGGTGCAGAATGTTGTAGGTAATTGGTGTGCTACCTAGTGACTGGTTTAACAGATAGACCAGTGTCCTTCTGAAGGATCTGCCCTTGGGTTTTCATTTGAGTCCCAGCATGACATGTCTTTAAGTAAAAGGTGTGTATTGTTATCATTTCATTCCAGTAGATGGTGACACAAGATTACATGCTGAAGGCTGCCCTTGCCTCTCTTTGCCAGATTCCTCGTCAGCAACGGCCTGCAGACCAAACACGGGGTGTTTGAGATCACCCTGGAGACCGTGGACAGAGCCTTACCTGTGGTGACCAGGAACAGGGGGCTGAGACTGGCCGAAGGCGCCACAGGCCTGCTTTCCCCTGACCTCCTCCAGCTGACCGACCCTGACACCCCAGCAGAGAAGCTCACCTTCGTGGTGGCCCGGCTCCCACAACAAGGCCAGCTTTACCTGCGGGGGGCGGAGCTACTTCAACACAGCTTCACTCAGCGGGATGTGGACAGCGGGCACGTGGCCTACCGGCACCTGGGGGGGGGCTCCCGGGTTGACTGCTTTACCTTTGCGGCCTCAGATGGGACAAACCAAGGCTTTGTTGTGGATGGGAGAGTGGGCCAAGAGCCTGTGTCATTCACCATCCAGGCAAGTATGACAAACCCACGGGTCATGGGCACAGATGTAGAGAAAACAACTTTCCTCTATTCCTTCCTTCTTCCTTTTTTTTTTTTTAAAGATTTTATTTATTTATTTGTCGGAGAGAGAGCACAAGCAGGAGGAGTGACAGGCAGAGGGAGAAGCAGGCTCCCGCTGAGCAGGGAGCCGGACGTGGGGCTCGATCCCAGGACCCTGGGATCATGACCTGAGCCAGAGGCAGACGCTTAACCTACTGAGCCACCCAGGCGTCCCGACCTTCCTTCTTTCATTAAAATATGTGCTGTGCGGTGGGTCTACAGCATGCCAGGCATATTAATATGGACATAATAATGCAAGGCATCAGACATATTCATATGGACAAGACAGAGGCGGTGCCTGCATGCAGGCTATGAGCAAGAGTCCGTGGTAAGACAGAAGCAGAAAACATGGGCTTTGGAGTCAGACTTGACTAGGTTGGAATTTATTGACTAGGTTTGCCATTTATTAGCTGTATGACCTTAAGAGAGTCCTTTAACTCTTCTGATTCGACCTTTCCTCCTTTGAAAACCATGCCTTACAGCATTGTGGTGAGAATAAAATCAGATTAGATATGGTAGGCTCTAGTATATTGCCTGAAATATATTAGATATTCGATACCTTGTACCTACTGTTGTAATATCTAAGTGCACTGTTATGATGCTACCTATTGGTTTGCATCATCTACTGGCATTTTAATGGTTTTCCACTGAACACATGAAAATGTACAAGGCTGCATCAATATTACACGTGAAATAATGATGGGAAAACAACTGTAGCAGCTACAAGTGTTGGAGCGTTAGCTGTGGGTCAGACCCACTTCACGTAAAGCTCATTTCTTTCTCAGGAAGTTTTATTATCCACATTTAATAGATGTTCAGGAGTTCACAAGGTCAATAATGTGATGAAAACCATATAAAGACCCCCAGTCTTTCTGATCCCCAGTTCTGTGCCCTTCCTCTGGCACAGCTCTGCCACAGTTGTGCTGACTAGTAGGATGATTTTGGGAGGGCATAATGTGTTTTTCTTTTTTTAGTCCAAACACATCACGCATGCTCTGTTTCTTACACCCTTGAATCCACTCTCCTTGGATGTAGTTTATCCTGTTCTACCCACTTCTACCAACTGTAGAAGAGATAAATCTGCGGGTCACTGCAGGATACCTTCTGATTATGTAAAATAATCATAATTTTCCCTTGCTCTTTAGTCTCTGTATTGGTCAGGGTTTTCCAGGGGAACAGCACAAATGGGATGTATATAGAGAAAGGAAAGGAAAAAGAGATTTATTTTCAGGAATTGACTCACCATTGAAGGGTCTAACATGTCCAAAATCTGCAAGGCAGGCCAGCAGGATGGAAATCCCAGCAGGAATTGATGTTGCAAGTCTCAGTCCCAAAGGCAGTCTGGAGGCAGAATTGCTTCCTCTCTAAGGGACCTCAGACTTTGCTCTTAAGGTCTTCAACTGATTGGACAAGGCCTACCCACATTATGGTGGGAAATCTGCATTACTCAAAGTCAACTGACTGAAATGTTAATCACAACTAAAAAATACCTTCACAGCAACATCCAGCCTGCTGTTTGACCAAACAACAAGCATCATAGCCAGCAAAGTTGATGCATAAAATGAACAATCACAGCCTCTATCTAAGGTGGGATCTGAGTAAAAGGTGGGGAGTCATGATAACATAGAGTGGATGCTGGATGAGTCTTTGGCTCTAGGAAGGCCCAGAAAAATGTCATAAAATTATGATGCACTGGGAGAAGAGAGAAGGTACTGGTATCATTGACACAGTATTAAAGAAGTACTTTGTATGTTGTAAAATTATTTTTTAATTATATGTTTTAATTGTTATTTGTCTCATCTCACTCTTCAATCTATTAATATATTTTTTCCTGACTCCTCACTGCTCACACTAGGTAGAAAAATGTCACTGTACTGTCCAACCAATAATACTTTTCTCAGTCTATTTGGCTGCAAATTTGTAGGAGTTATACATTCTAGTACAGGCATAAAAGTTACTTCCTATGCTGCAGAGTAGGGAAGGAAAAGAGAGTAGAATTTAGAAGAAGTAACAGCCTGGGGCGCCTGGGTGGCTCAGTCATTAAGCGTCTGCCTTTGGCTCAGGTCATGATCCCAGGGTCCTGGGATCGAGCCCCGCATCGGGCTCATGCTCCACGAGAGGCCTGCTTCTCCTTCTCCCACTCCCCTTGTTTGTGTTCCCTCTTTCACTGTGTCTCTCTGTCAAGTAAAGAAATAAAATCTTAAAAAAATAATAATAAAGAAGAAGTATCAGAACTTAAATCAGGCCTGTCCCAACACCAACATTCATCTTACAGAGCACAGTTATTGTAAGAGAGTGATCTCTTGGTAGTTGCAGAATTTACTGATAGGAAAATGTTGGATATATGTTGTAAAGGTTCTTTTTCATCCAAAGTACAAGGTATGTTTTGCCATACAATACAGTTATGTGTAGATAAGGAAAGCCTCAAACTTTCTCCCATAATTCCCCCAAATTTTCTGGTCTTTCAGAGCAGAGAGGTCAGGCAGTTTAGGAATTAAGTGGCGGATGCCTCTCAGTCTCTTGCCTTCAAGAGCTTCTTTGGTAAGACAATCTAATGTCCACCACTGAGTCACAAGTTTGCCCAAATAAATCTTCCAAGTAGGGGTGCACCACTCTTATGGTCCCATCCTGAGTGGAACCGAGGGCAAAGCCGCTGGACTTCACAAGGATAAAACACAGCCGTGTTCCGCTGATACCAGTGTGCACAACCTGACATCCATGTTGTAGGTAATCATGGCTGTCTGACCAGGACACTGCAGTCTTGCTGCAGTGAGTCTTGTACTCTTCTCTAAATGGGGATAGGGCTGGTGGTGAGAGAGGAAGGACCAGTGTTGCTGCTTTCGATGGTTTATGCGTGTCTGAGATGATTTTCAGTGAACCCAAGTTCTCAAAGGATGTAGCCTTCTTTTCCTTAAAAAAAAAAAAAAAATGCCTTGGATTCCAGTATTTTCAAATGCTTCTGATCTACTAAGCCAGAAGACCTATTTTTGAAGAAGTTTAATGAGATTAGGGGCAAGTGTGACCAAAGACACAACAGGAGACCATGTAACCAGAGTTTTTATTTTTAAAATATGTTTAAAAATATGTTTTAAATATATTAAATATTTTAACATATATATTAAATATATAATAAAATTTAAATATATATAAATTTATATATTTATATAAAGATTTAAATATAAACAAATTTAAATATATATATTTAAAAAATATTTTTAAAACAAATGATCACAACAGCCATTCATTCCTTTTGTAGCACTTTTGATTTTAAGGAAAATACAACATAAAAAAAAAAAACCCACACCTGCACTCAGCTGGTTATAACACTGAGGATTTCTTTCATGGCTCCGAGTATTTTTATTTTTCTCACCTGTCATTCACCATCTAGCCTATTGGCCATCATGGTTGAAGGAGCTTCTCCCACAAAAGACCATGATAACTATTTGACTCCCTGCCTCCCACCCGATTGCATAGCTGAGGTTGTCATGCACACTTTTTAGAAGAGAATGTAACTTTTGAAAATTGTTGTTGCTTTTTTTTATTTGTAAAATAATTGTTTATTGTAAAGAATTCATAAGCTACAGAAAGGGACAAGAAAAAAAATCCATAATCATACCACTCAAAGATAACTACTTTTGGGGCACCTGGGTGGCTCAGTCGGTTAAGCGTCTGCTTTCGGCTCAGGTCACAATCCCCAGGGTCCTGGATTGAGCCCCCGAGTCAGGCTCCCTGCTCAGTGGAGAGTCTGATTCTCTCTCTCCCTCTGCCCCTCCCTCTGCTTGTAGTCTCTCTGGCTCTCTCTCAAATAAATAAAATCTTAAAAAGCAAAAAACAAAACAAAGATAACTACTTTTGGTGGCTTCCTTTCATTCTTTCATTCTGTGCAATTAAAAAAAAAGGGAGGATATTATATGTACTGTCAAGCATATTGCCTGTTTCTACTCTTCATGATGTTATAAAAATTTCCTAATGTCATTAGATCTTTCTTGAAAACATAATTTTTAAAGGCTGAATAGCATTCAGTGCCAGGTAGACATGGTTTATAAATCCCCTGTTGGACTTATAGTTTTATGGATTTTTTTGTTAATTGCTATTATAAATTATATTTAATGAACATATATGAATATATGTGTGTGTATATACATATATATATGTATACCTGCACACATTTTGTGTACATATCTAATTATTTCTGCAGGACATACTCAAAAAAGTGAAAGTTTTGATCAGAGTATATATACATTATATACATATATATATATATATGCGCCAAATTTCTCTCCAGAAAATTTGCACCCCTCCAGCAAAAGATAAAAATGCCTGCACCTCTAAACAGTTACCAACATGATGTATGATTATTTTTGTAAGTAAAAAAAGAACCTTGCTAACCTGAGAGGGAAAAAAAATTTGGTTGTTAGAAAATTCCATATAGAAATACGTAATGAAGCCTGATATTTCCCCCACCCCAAGACAACTGAACAGGTTTGTGTAAATGCTCCCAGAATTTTGTCTATGTCTGTATGAACATATAGATGAACAAAAATGATACTATAGTCATCTCCTATTCTACAACTTACTGGGTTTTTTTTTTTTTTTTTTTTTACCAGTTCACACTCAGTTGTGGAAATTATTTATTTTCAGTTCCTCCTACCTCAGTTTTTAAAATAGCTGAATAATAGTTTATTACATCATCCTATATATCATCCCATACAAGACTCTACAAGTCTTATCATGGCACTTTTTACTTAGCTAGGGTGAACCAAGATTTACAACAGTATCATTCTGGGATAAATGAAGTTAAGAATTGAATGGTTAGGAGTAATAGGAATGGAGACCATGGTCCTACACTTGTTTTCCAGTATGAGTGGTGAACTGTGCTTCTCCATTCAAACCTGCTCCTTCCCTAACTTCCAACAGTCATTTGCAAGATGGACCGAGCTTCATACCATACCTGCATGAGGCCTTTTGCCGTATTTGAGCCTCTGTGCCTCTTGCACTCACGAGTAGTTGCCCATCCACTCAGTATTTTTGCAAATTGAGTCTACCTGTTTAGTGACCTGGTTCTCATCCTCCGTGAATTAAATACACAAATGCCTATAAATAATCACTTTTCAATTTTTTCTTACTGAAGTATTTCTGTTTTTTTTGTTTGTTTTTAAGAGAGAGAGAGTGTGTGTGAGTGGGAGGGGAGGGACAGAGAGAGGGAGAGAAAGAATCTTAGGCAGGCTCCATGCTCAGTGTGGAGCCGACTCAGGGCTCGATCTCACAACTCTGAGATCAAGAGTCGGATGCTTAACCAGCTGAGCCACGCAGGTGCCCCATTGTTTCTGTTTCTTATCCAACATTTATGCCATTTGAGCAAAGACGTGCCCCCAAAACGTTCAATGCATTCGTGATGCATATCCTTATGTATATCTTTATAAGCTTATTTCTGTATATCACCAAATACTGGGAAAATGGAAGAATTCTCCTCCGGAGCTAGTGTTAAGTTTGCAGTACAATTCTTGGGTCAATTTTAATGTATTAATTCAACAAGTATCCCTTGAGCTGCTCTTACGGTTCAGTCGCTATGCCAGGTGCAGGGAATAAAGGGAGGGGTAGGGGTGGAGACATGGTGTCTGCCATCAGGGAGATTATGTCCTAATAGGAGAGCCAGACAATGGACCATTAACAAAGCTGGATCAAAGTTTACAATGGAAAGTTAGCCTTTGTTCCAGGCATTATGATATTTACTGAGGATACTGTGAACGAGCCAGCCTTTAGCAGAAATGAACAAATGAGGAGGATAAGGAATCTGAAATTTGGGATAGATTATCATTGTTAACCATTAAAACCCTATGTTGCTTGGAGATGAGAAACCTTTGTATAAGATTGTACATAATTATTGACTATCCAGGTTGACCAGTTGGACAAAACAGCCCCCTACATCACACACTTGCATTCCCCTTCTCAAGTGGGGCTCCTAAAAAATGGCTGTTACGGGATTTACCTTACTTCCCACGTGTTGAAGGCATCAGACCCTGACACCGATGACGATCTGATCATCTTTAAGATTTTACGAGGTCCCCAACATGGACATCTGGAGAACACAACAGGTACTGCCTTCCTTAATCCTTGTAATTGCTCATCTTAAAATACCCCGTAGCTGGCAAGGCTAGAGAGTAATTTAATTAAGTGTAGGCCCATTTGGTAAACACTCCCCAGGGCTTACTGATAGATTCAGTTTATAAATCAATATTGGTGCTAAAGAGGGTTTGAGGCTGAGCTTTCCTAAATTCATCTTGAGTGGGAGAATCAAATACTGATACACAGCTGTTTATTGTTTACAATTCTTTTGAACATCCAGATTATAATATATTCAAAGGAACACACAGCGCCCGTCAGGACCAATTTCATACTTGTGACTAATTTTCTTTTTATCAGGAATTCTAAATGATGTCAGTTCATTAACCAAAAAAAAATTGGGAGGGGTATAATGATTTCTCTGGATTGTATATTATTTCTGCTTTATGAAGACAATGATCAAAATATGTCGCTAAAAAGAATGGCACAGAATTAGAGATTTTATTACTGTATCTTCCTACTCTCCCTCTATTTTTATATTTTCTTTAAGGCACAATATTTCTGAGCCAAAGTAAATTTTAAAGCTAATTTAAGCTTATTGCATATGAGTTTTAAGATGCTTGCAATAATGTTAATTTCTTTAAAAATATATACTTTGGCTGTTTTTAAAGCTGTGCTTAAAATAAAATAGCCATATAATTTATCAGCTTTTACTTAATATTTTGTTTCACTCCCCTTGAAATTCATTCCTTTCTTTCTTGTAGGTGAATTTATCCATGAGAAATTTATCCAAAAGGACTTAAACAGTAAGACCATTCTTTACATCATAAACCCATCTTTGGAAGTGAATTCAGATATCATGGAATTTCAAATCATGGACCCCACAGGGAACTCTGCGACTCCTCAAATGTAAATGATTTTGCTTATTTAGTGGTCTTATACATAATGTCCAGAATATATCTGATTATGAATGTGAAATATTCTTTTCAAACAAAATCCAAAGATAAATTGGTAGGCCATTTTAGAAGCTCATCGAATTTATTTTGGAGAAAGAGTTTTCTTTCTAATGTATGATAATGGGAAAGCCAGTAGCCTTATAGGGTATGGGAATATTAAAAAGTTAAGGTATAGAGTGCTGGATCATTCATATTACTCATGTAAATGCATACACTTTCGCACACAGAGTGGTTTCTGTCTTGGTAATTCACTCACATCCAGGACTGAGCTTGCAGGCTCATGGACAAATCGTGCAGCAAGAGGTCACTCTAGGACTGCGTTAGTAACCAGTCTTTGAAAATACCTACCCCAGGAAGAAGGAGGTAGTCAGGAAGGGTCCGCAAAACATCTCTCACCTCCAAAGAAACAAACAAACAAAAAACCTCCCAAACGATTACTTGAGCCTGCTTCTATAAATTAATAAACAGATCACAGGTAAGATGAAGACAGTGTAAAAGGGAAAATAGACTTGGAAAAATACTAAGGGACACTTCGAAAGTATATGAAATGTACAAGGGTAACATCCTCACAATGAACAAGAGGAACCATCCTAATATTTCTGACTGGGCCCCTGTTCTAAATTTCTCTTGGATGTAGAGCTTTAATAACTTACCAGTTATCAGATAATCACAGAAATATTAAAATCAGAGTCCGATTCTCCTTATGCTGTGTTTTTCTTTTGAAATTTGACACCCTTCCCAGTCCTCTCATAGAAAAGTTGCTCATTTATCCTAATTTCAGTGTTTGCTGTAACCTCGTAAAACCACACATCGTAAGCGAGTACAGCCCCTTTCTGGACCTTTTATGACAGAATATGGACAAAGGAAGAAAACAAATTCACCTCTGTTCTCGCCATTCTTAACTTTTTCTGACTCTGAATTGTAGTTCCAACAATTGCCAGCAGAGGTCTCTATAGTCATTGTTAGAAAAATGTATCCTCTGCAAAATTCATTCCCCAAGTCCCGCCTCCATTTGCCCTGATAAAGGGTAGTACCTGGCTCAGATTCATAATCTTAACAGATTTTTATTGAGTGGCTATCATATGCCAGGTTCCACAGTCCTAGATGTTGGGGAAATAGGCATGAATAAGGAAGACCTGGGCTTTGCCATTAAGCTATAATCATGAGTTTATAAAACTAAAATGGAGGACCACCACCCATTCAACTGATCTTGTCCAGGAGAAATGATTCCTTGGCATTACAATCTTTATAGAAAATATATTACCTAATTGCAATTTCAGACGAGTGTCTTCTAGTTCTCAAGAAAATGAAAAAAAGTCCTGCTCCAAAATCATTAATAAATTGATTACATTTGCTTTTTAATAATTCAACTAAAGAACAGGACTATGGACCAGACTTGTTGGTGACCTAATGCTCACTGCTGTGCCTCCACATGTGAACGTAGCATGGCTGACAGGATTTTTTTTCTCCCGCAGTGGTGCTAGATTGATACTACTTCAACTGCACACCCTTTTCATTCCTCATTGTTACAAAGGGCATTGCTTTTGAAGATGATTTATGTTGTTAAGTAATTCTCAGATTCATAGGAGAATCACAGAAGAATTTATAACCTTAATTGAGGCTATTTTAAATAGACTCCTGCTTCTGTGATACCAATTTTCATGTACCTTGCTAAAGAGATTTTTAAATCAGCTTGAAATGATTGGAACCAACGGAACAAGATGATGCAAAATATGCCTGTCAGGGGTTAACCCAGAAGTCATTCTGATTTGATTCTGACATATATTGTTTTCTTTAGAGTGGTAGGGGGAGATAGAAATTACTCAGCACTTCCCTTCATAATTTGTGAGTGGTATAATTGTCCCTAACCTCATTTATAAATAGATGTTTTTTGGAGCAAGAAGCCGGTTATTCCAGTAAGAAACAATGTTGTGAATAGTCGTCTTTCCAAAACAGCCCGCAAGAGCCTAGTTACATGCACAATATATATTACAGGTATTTGCAGTACAATTGTTTTCTACTGTTTCTTTCTTTTTTTTTTAAGATATTGTTTATTTATTTGAGCGAGAGAGAGAGCGAGCAAGAGCACAAGCGGGGGGGGGCAGAGGGAGAGGGAGAAGCAGACTCCCCGCTGAGCAGGGAGCCCGATGCACCATCCCAGGACCCCGGAATCATGACCTGAGCTGAAGGAAGACGATTAAGCAAGTGAGCCATCCAGGCGCCCTCTACTCTGCTTCATTGCTCTTCTTTAATCATCACAACCACCAATCAGTTAGGTACCATCATAATCCAGAGTTTATACACGAGAAAACTGAAACACGGAGATAGGAGGTGACTCGTGTAGGCTCATGCAACTAATTAGTGAAGGAGCTGGGATTCAGGCCCAGGAAGGGTGGCTCTCGAGTCCATGGTTTTCCTTATTGCACTAAAGAACTTCTTGCCCTCTCTTAACAAGTCAGCTAAACTGGCCTCCTGGGAAAGGAGCGGCAGACTTATCTCCCTTCTTTCTCTCCAGTCATTGACCACCCAGGCAGCAAAAAAGGAGGAATCTATACTCTTTTTTAAAAAAGGAAGTTACAGCTATTAATATGAACGTGTGCTCCATGTCCAACACACTGGGAATTATGGTATAGATAACAAACAAAAAGCCACTGGACTTAGAGTCAAAGAACAGGGCTCGAGCTTTGGGTCTGCCTTTGACCTACGTGATTGTGCAAGCCTTAGTTATCGCTTCTGTCAGATGAGGGCGATATCACAATTTGTTTAGAGAAACAAATGAGATAAAACATGTGAGAGCATGTTGTACATTTAAAGTCCTTGACAAATGTAACTTGCGGTGGTGGTTGCTGTTCATTCATATGAGTACAAGACTGACTATTTGAAGAAGTATCCTGGAGACATCTGGTGGCCCATCTCTAATTAGAAATCGATTCTGAGATGATTCACGAAGTAAACAGTCAATATGCTTCTTCATCAATAAGCTAAGTCTTGTGTAATTTTATGTTCTTGTATGGCTTGGACAGGATTAATAGATTAATATTCTGTTTATTTGGAGGGGTGAAAACCTTCGGTAATAAAGCTAAAGGGAACATTGGGTACAATCTGGAGCAGAAAGGAGGCTCTTTTAAAAACCAAGAGGGACCCATGTTCAGAATCTTGATTGCTAGTAAATTTTTGCTATTGCAACATTTCTATAGAATATCAAATCTGAAGGGTCAAGAGATATTCCATTAGAAAAGGTGTTAGGAAATCTTGATTTAATCAAGTTCTTGCTAGCTAGCTAACTTGCATGCTGTTTAACTACATCACATCCCAGAATCATGGAGATGCTCCTATGGGAATTTCTGCAACAGGGATATAGTATGTAGCATATCTCAACTTGATTTGACTATAGAACCACCACTACCCTGCCCCAGACTAGCTCATGGAACAAATTTTTCGTGGAATAGGTTTGGGAGACATTTTATCGTAAATAGAAATTATTTTATAACACTGAGATTCATGGAAATTTGCATAAAGATTTAGATTTGGCCAAGTGCCTAAATTTTAGGCACTGTGCTAGGTGCTTTCACATATGTTGTCTAATTTAATCTGCAAAATACAATGCTCTGAGGCTGATAAGGAAATTAGGCTCAAAGCATTTAAGTAATTGGCCAGAAGTCACGAAAGGAGTAAATGGCAGAGCTGAAAGTGAACCCTGACCTCAAGACCTCAGAGTGAGCGCTCATCTTATTGGCTCGTGCCTTGGCGTGACTCACTCACATGCCAGATCGGTTCTCTAGCCCCGCTCCCATCTCAAGATGGTCCACAGGAGCTCCCAAACTCAGCTACACAGGACTCACACCGTTCAAAAATGCCTTTGCAGACCACAGAATGCAGCCAGCTTCTGACCAAGGCAGTTTCTTCACGCATCTCCTGCATTGATCTCTTTCGGTTCTCACTGGGGACAAAAAGTGAACTTCAAAAGAAAAGTTGACCCATGCTGAAATTCCTCATCGCTCTGGGTCACTTCTCCAGCTGCTGCACGATTCCAAGGACTGATTCTTCTCCTCCCTCTGGCTACCCTTATTCATTCCTGGCTTTGGAAGAGAAGGGACAAATAGAGATCAAACAGCAAAGGAATTTCTAACAGACACACCCCGTGATGCTTTAGCAACTTTTATGAAACACCTTGCAGGGGAAGAGGTTGAAACTCTTGGTGAGGTAAAGTTTTCACATTACCTGCAAGCCGGAAGTTGGAGTGTTTTTCTCCGGATAGATTGAAGAAAGCGCAGAAGAAGGAAAAGGAAATGGCACTTATTAAGCACTCACTGTGTACAGGTGCTCTATACATATAAACAAATTTTAATTTTCATCATTTGACATGAGTATAATTCTCATTTTAAAGCTAATGAAAACTGAGACCTCGGGAGACTGGGTAACTGACCAGAATCAGACGCTAATAAGTGGTTGCAAGGTGTGTCTGACGGTAAAGCACTTGTTTTGGGTACTTAGCGTGCTGCCTCCTGGCTAAACACTGTTTTCTCATTACCACAAGAGAAAGACAAAATGGAAAACACAGGTGTTCATAGCATGAGATTATGGAGATTAATAACATCCTCTCTGAATTGATAAGTTGTAGAATACTCAGAAAAATATTTTTTAGCCTTTCAGTTTTCTTAAGTCATATGCTACTTGATTATACATGAAGATCTAGTTGGAAGAATAATTTAATCACAATTTTAGCTTTTATAAAACCTTTCACTGAGAAACTCAAAATACTTAATGAGTATTCATTAAGGCTCATTTAAGCCCTTTGAAGTACAGACTCATCATTATTTACACTTTGGGAAGTGAGGAAACTGAGGCATAGAACAGCTAAGTGCCTTTTTCACACACTCTTGTTAACCTAGATTAATGTCGCAAATCCCAAGCTGGGGTTTTAATCCCAAGTCTTTCCTTCAGTTAATTGTTTCTTCATATAAATGACTCAAGTAGCCACAAAATGAAATATCAGAAAAAAAAAATATATATATATAAATATTTATAGCAACACTCTTGACAGTTTGGGCCAGGTAATTCTTTGTCACGGGCTGGGGGTGAGCAGGGGCAGGGTGTCCTGTGCATTGCATGCTGTTTATAGCATCCCTCGTCTCTACCCATGAAATGCCACTATCACCCTCCTCCCAGCCGTGACAATCAAAGCTGTCCCTAGACATTGCCAAATGTTGAGAATCATGCACATACCTTAGAAGATACCAGAGGCGTGTGTTAAGCAATCATGCTTTATGGTCCAGTCCTCTTTGGTCAACACCATCCTTTCTCGATACTCTAATAAAGGACAATCATAGCTAAAGAACCAAAGAAAGGACTAGAAAGAACATGTGAGGATCATCTATCCTAGCATTTTTTCAAATTTTGTGAAACATGATGTTAATAGGGCCAGGGAGACGGAAGGTTTCGGTGATCAACTTAGCTTGGGAAACAGTGAATAAACAAGGTCCCTTCATTCATTGAACAAATATCTATTGAGCACTTACTTTTTTCCAGCCACTCTCCAGGGGACTTGGGAATACATCAGTGAACCAAAGGCCCCTGTTTACTTCATATCAAATAAATTAAATAGTATGTTCTACATGATCCTACTTTGGAAAATGAAAAAGTTGGTCAGGATAACGGGGGATCACAGATGCTGGGCTTAAGGGATGGATTACGATTTTATTTTTTACTTTTTATTTTTTTTAAAGATCTTTATTTTTTTTTAAAGAGAGAGATCACAGGCGGGGAGGAGGCGGGGAAGGAGAAGCAGGCTCCCTGCTCGATGTGAGGCTCGATGTGGGGCTTGATGTGGGGCTCGATCCCAGGACCCTGGGATCACGACCTGAGCCGAAGGCAGATGCATAACTGACTGAGCCACCCAGGCACCTGTGGATTGCAATTTTAAATTGGTTATTTAAATGGCTTTTCTTATACTCATACCAAAAGTTAGAGGAACGTCACAAAAATGTTATCTGAGAATCAACTGACTGAAATCTACAATAAAAGTGCAGCATATCTAATATTACTACTTATAAATTACGTCCTATATATCCTTAAATCAGTATTAAACACACACACCTACACACACACACACACACACATATCTTCCCTCTGGGGAGTCCATTGTTAAAATATTTATAATCATATCACTGCTTATATGAATATATAAAATATAACAAGGCAATATGTAAATTTAAAATATATGCTGAAATTAAACAAAAGAAGAGGCATTAAACGGAGACAGGAAACAAAACAAAGCAAGGCAGTTTCCTTGTGCTGCAATTTGAGATCATTTTGTGCATGGCAGAGGGACCAGAAGCCTCATGACTTCTAATCCAATTTAATCTCCACTGATCAATCCTATGGCTTCCATTCACAGTAGCGATTGTTGGGAATTCAAATTCAGTTTCCCCATTAAATCAAATTTCCTGTTGTGATAAGTGCCCCGCAATCACTGAGGGAAATGTTTCTCAACTGAGGATGACTTACCCCTCAGGGACATTTGAAAATTTCTGGGAGCAGTTTTGATTGGAGGGGCTGATGTGACTGCATCTAGTGGGCAGAGGCCAGGGATGATGCTAACCATCTTACAATGCACAGGACAGCTCAGCCACAAAGAACTATCTGGTCCCAAAGTCAATAGTGTCCAGGTTAGAAACCATGACCTGGGGCTTTAAGGAGTTCTCACTTCTTGCTAAATGACTTGAAATGATCGCCATATGTGTTTCACATAAAGTGTGTCCGTAAACTTCATTTCTGACCTTAGATTGAGATTTGCCCAATGGCAATAGAACAAGGGAGGGATCGTTAAAATGTGAAGATTCAACCCAAGCCTTGTCTACATGACCTCTACACATCCAGAGCTTTCCAAATCTCTCTCATGGGCTCCTGCATCTGGTTGTCTACATGATGCCCAGCAAACAGTTGTGTGACCTCTTGCAGGTGGAATTTCTCTTTTCTTTCAAGTGTTTGCGTAGAATTTAAGCAACAATCCTCAGCAATAGAAAGATCTCAAATTCAGTATAGCAAAAACTAAACACATTCAAAACATGTGTTACACCTGCCCTATGGGTGTGCATGTGCTTTGTGATTTAAACGTTTTTCTAGAAAGTATGGCTTAGTTTCGTGGTTTTCCAATAGATCTTTATTATTTGTAGTGAGGAGTTTTAAGAAAATAAACTACAACATTGTGTAATGACAACCTTACTCTGTAAGCAGTATGCAGCATTCTAATCGTGCATCAGGGAAATGCACGCACTTTCCCAAACATCAAAGCCCTTTATGCTTTGAAGCTGAACAGCACTCTGCGTGGTCCCTTTATGGATCTAGATCAGCAATCAAATTGCATTTAGCTTTAGGCCTTGAGGTCACCTGGAACTGCAGAGTGATGTTGATGAATTTTTGTCTGTCATAGTTCCCATTAGCAGCGGATGGATGGATGGATTCTCAGAAGACTGGACATTGAAACTCATTTAAACCTTATTGAGACTTAGGTGAAATCCACCCATCTTTATTTCACTCATTCCCACTGCTCTTCTGCCTTCCTGTTTCATCTTTCTGTCCTTTGCTCCAATCCATCTTGTTGAGTTTTTTCCCCTCTTATCACTTAGCTGGGTCCTTTAGGAATTCTTTGCCACATGTTATTTTTATTGGCTTTTATAATAGCCTTGGTTGCTTGTTATCTTGTGATTCTTTAAGCATAGCCATTTATTTCTTTATTTCTTGATTGCTCCATGCCAGATTTGAATTGTCACATCGAAGACCCATGAGGATCCCAATATTTCTAATACTAGGATTCTGTTTTCATGTCAAAATTTTATGAAGTCCAGCATGCCAGTAACAATTTCATATGTATTGATTGAATAAACATGTATGTTTATATAGATTCATGAACCTCTGCCATAATTCCATGCTCCCACACTACCTTGCCGCCCTAGCCCATGGTCCTTGGAGTAACAGACGGTGATATTGAGTTTATCTTGCTGGTGAACTTAGAGTATGTGACTGTGATGTGATTGGTGCAAAGACACGAAGTGGATATTAGGGGATAAACTTACTCTAATATGAATGGTCCCCAGCAAAGCCTGGAGAACCCCGCGAAACCCATATTCTACATGGCAGCACCCAGAATTTCTAGTTGTGTGAGAAAAAAATTGTAAAAAAAATAGGCATTAAGAAATCAAGAAGAGGGGCGCCTGAGTGGCTCAGTTGTTAAGTGTCCGCCTTCGGCTCAGGTCATGATCCCGGGGTCCTGGGATCGAGCCCCGCATCGGGCTCCCTGCTCGGCGGGAAGCCTGCTTCTCCCTCTCCCACTCCCCCCTGCTTGTGTTCCCTCTCTCGCTGTGTCTGTCTCTGTCAGATAAATAAAATCTTAAAAAAAAAAAAAAGAAATCTAGAAGAAAGAGCCTACATCCAATTGAAAGATTGGGGATATAGTAAGGCAACCACTGAGGGGTTTGCAAACGTAGACTGGAAGGAAAATGAGAGAAACAAAATGACAGAATTGTGTTAAATGATCATTGTGAAGATTGCTTGTGTCCTCTACACTTGTGTCTCTGATTTTCTCCAGTTTTCTGAAAAAGAAAAGGAAATTTTCTATATTATGAGTAAAGTAGACAGTTTCCATCCAATGTTGGGCTCACTAAATCTACTGTGTGAAAAAGACCACCCCCTATTTATCAGGTTTTTTTCAGTTGCATTGCTGCATCCAAACTACATGTCAGCCCTTTTATATGAACAGAAGAAGGAACAGATAATGGTTATAAAACCCATGCATATTGTAATTCCGAGGCACATCCTGAAAGATAACTGGTTATTAAATTGAACCCAAGGGCGCCTGGGTGGCTCAGTCGTTAGGCATCTGCCTTCGGCTCAGGTCGTGGTCCCGGGGTCCTGGGATCGGGTCCCACATCGGGCTCCCTGCTCAGCGGGAAGCCTGCTTCTCCCTCTCCCACTCCCCCTGCTTGTGTTCCTGTTCTCGCTGTCTCTCTCTGTCAAATAAATAAATAAAATCTTAAAAAAAAAAAAAAATTGAACCCAAGTTCAGAGAAGGTCTACGTCTAGAACAGTTCTTGATATACCAGTGAAGCCCAAAAAGTAAGAGAGAAGATTTCCTATCAATGTCCTTTCCATAAATGTCTCCTTGAACTTCACTGCTCCTGGTCCCTTTGCCCCTTCAGATGACTCATGTTTGAGTCCCTCTGACAGCCTTTTAACCTTAGTTTCTGCATTTGTAAAATAGAACTCTAATACTTACTCTTTCTAACTCATGGCATTGTTGTAAGCATCAGATGAGATTGTTAGTAAAAGTTCTTTTTGAGCTAAAATATATCAAATAAGCATAAGGAATTTTTAGCACTGGTGTACGTTGATGAACCACGTCTGTCACCAGGATATGAACCAGTGATTCAATCTCCTACCAAGCAGAGGATCCCTAAAGGCACTTACTGTGCATTTTTAAAAAATGATTTTCCTTTTTCTTTTCCTTTCATGCACAGTTTGGAACTGAAGTGGTCTCACATTGAATGGTCACAGACTGAATATGAGGTCTGCGAGAATGTGGGCATGTTGCCCTTGGAAATTACCAGACGAGGATATTCCATGGACTCAGCCTTCGTGAGTGTAAAGGTAACAGCTCTAAAATATAAACTGTCAGGCTAAAACTTGGGTTGCTGGTTGGTGCCTTTGATTATTTTCTTAAAAAGGAAACCAAAGTAACCAAGGAAATTTCAAATTGCAGGATTACCACATTATTTTAGAGATTCTACACCTAATATTTTCTTATCCTCCCACCCTTTATCTAGCTTCATTCGCTCTTAGATATGGTATTTCAAACCCATTTTTAGTTTTTAAATCTAGTCATTAAGTCTTGAAGTTTGACTTTATAGGGAGATATATCCAACCTAGTAAATCGAGCCAAACTCTGCTTTGGAAAAGAAAGGTGGTATGCAAGACCTTCTATGAGGTCCCAGAACAAATTTCAGCCTCCAGATGGCTTTCTCTTAGTATGCCACCAGGATCACTTCCTGTGGTCTTAGTGGATGAGGAAAATCAAGGACAAACTTATCTTAAGAATGTGACCCAAGTTAAAATTAAGAGCGCACATATCAATCCAGGCCTCTGAAATATAAAGAATATTCAGTAATCACTTTTAGATTAGTCAGCTTGTTATTCCTTTCCTTCGGCATAGACCATGGAGCACAACTTATGGCTTCTAGAATTGAAGGGTCTTTTTAGGAGTCACTATCGCAGTAACACTTCAAGAGAATGACAGCTTGAAAAGTTTTCACCAGGGCGCCTGGGTGGCTCAGTTGGTTAAGCGACTGCCTTCGGCTCAGGTCATGATCCTGGAGTCCCGGGATTGAGTCCCACATCGGGCTTCCTGCTCGGCAGGGAGTGTGCTTCTCCCTCTGACCCTCTTCCCTCTCGTGCTTTCTATCTCTCATTCTCTCTCTCTCTCAAATAAATAAATAAAAATCTTTAAAAAAAAAAAAAAGTTTTCACCAACCAACAATGGTGAATGAGCCTTGGAGACTCCGCTCCTCAATCTCATGAAAGAGGCAGTGATATTAGCTTCTGGAAAAAATGGCCATCTCAGTTCATTCTCCATTACAATAATACATTCAAATCATCCTCAGAACCTTGTGCACCTAAATTCTGCCATATCTGCATTTTGTATTTATCTTTCCAGTGGGCATAGACTCTTTTTCCCAGATCTGTGGGTGCTTTATTGCTCGTGAAACATCAATCTCCCAGCAGATTGTTCATGCAAAAAGAAATCTGCCTGAATGGTGTTTAAATAATGCTTTGGTCGTCTCTAGAAAGCACCATATGCTTGAGTCTAGACTTTGGGGCCACATACCATTCACTTGGCCAGGTAGAAAGAACATATATGGTGTGATATGGAACCTTTTGTCTACTTCGGCTGAATGCGCACTGCGAACCTGCCCACTGAGTGTGCAGGCCTTCATCAAATATGGCCCTGAGGCTTCAGGGACAGCTCCACCCAGAGCACAGGTGCCACTCTATACCAGAGCATATTGGTTACTTGACCAGAAGCAGAGGAAGAGGAAGCACTTTTCCCTGTGTGATTTGCCCTGGTTTGAATTGTGCACCTTCACGGAACTGATTGCTCCCACCAGCCTGCCGCAGACCGTTCCTTTTCCCACATAGGATTCTGTCAACTCAGTGGTGGTAAAATACCAAGTAATTGCATGTGCTAGAGTCATGCAGGGAAATGTAACTTCCGGCATATGGTGGCTACAGGTGTACAATGGGCCGCCTTTTCACAATGCGAGCTTGTTCAGGAGGAGCCTTGGCTTTGTGGGCAAAGTGCAAATGGAAGCTTAGGAGGAAGTACCCTCTTCAGCACAATGATTCCACTGCAGACCCATTCGCAGGTCTTAGGGCCCTTGATGACAACTTTGAAGTTTTCCATGGTGTGCTTCATTTCTTTATGAAAGTGAAGAAATAGAGGAACCCACATTCTTGACCATCTTAAATGCCTAAAAAAGGCAAAGTAACAGCTACCTCTCGTGCTTACACCGGGTTCTCATCTGATGACTTCTTTTTCACACTAGCCAAGGACACTAATTTTTTTTTTTAAGATTTTATTTATTCATTTGACAGAGAGAGACACAGCGAGAGAGGGAACACAAGCAGGGGGAGTGGGAGAGGGAGAAGCAGGCTTCCCGCCGAGCAGGGAACCCGACACGGGGCTCAATCCCAGGACTCTGGGACCATGACCTGAGCTGAAGGCAGACGCCCAGTGACTGAGCCCAGGCGCCCCCAAGGACACTATTCTTTTTTTTTTTTTTTTTTAAGATTTTATTTATTTTTTAACAGAGAGAGACAGCGAGAATGGGAACACAAGCAGGGAGAGTGGGAGAGGGAGAAGCAGGCTTTACTCCGAGCAGGGAGCCCAGTGCGGGGCTCGATCCTAGGACCCTGGGATCATGACCTGAGCTGAAGGCAGGCGCTTAATGACTAAGCCACCCAGGCGCCCCAAGCACACTATTCTTAACACGGATTTAGGCTCCCTCTGGGGGAGATAAGGCCATGACTTGAGAGCCCTAAATCTCCTCTGGTTTTCAGCGCCGGGAGTGGGGAACAAATCAGTAAATAGTCTCTGCAGACTAGCGTAATTTTTGTTGTTGTTGCTAATGACTTACTTGATGAAGCCTCAAAAGCCCTCCGTGGTGTGTGTGGATTGATTTTGTGTGGCTGTTCACCAGGTCGGCCAGCCCCGTGGAGCTCTTATTCATTTCTGTGAAGAGGGTTGGTTTCGTCCTGACAGGAAAATGGACCAGACTTGTTTCAGGTCAACTTGTCTAAGGCCTTCCGTGCCCTGAAACTCAAAGGACACCCTAAAGCTACTTGTGGGGAGCAACTGCCGCTGCTTCTCCCCCCCAACCTTTCCTCTGAGGCATGATTTCAAAGCCAGTTTGGGGTAGAAGGAAGGGGATGAAATAAATGGATCCTCATAACGAAGAGAAAAATGGTGTTTAAGATTTATGCTGCTTTCTCCAATGACCGAATCATTTATAAAGAAGCAAAAAGAAAAAGAGAAAAAAAAAAGCTTTGCTTTTACTTCCATTGGTAGTAGTCTAAGAAAAATTTTAAGTTTAAGGAAGATCCATGTAGCCTAGATCTAAAATGGTTTATTATAATTTGAAAAAAAAAAAACACCTTTATGTTAAAAACAGATTTAAGAGCATGAGTTTGGGATGCCTGGCTGGCTCAGTCGGTAGAGCATGCAACTCCTGATCTTGGGGTTATGAGTTCAAGCCCCATGTTGGGTTGTTGGGTGGAGAGCCTCCCCCCAAAAACAGAGCATTAGTTTAATCTATTATGATACTAGACTAGATGTTTCTCTATTAAAATAATATATTTTTAAATTTTTTTAATTTTTAATTTTTTAAAAGATTTTATTTATTTATTTGAGAAAGAGAATGAGAAAGAGAGAGCACAAGGGGGGGAGGGTCGGAGGAAGAAGTAGACTCCCCGCTGAGCAGGGAACCTGATGCGGGACTCGATTCTGGGACTCCAGGATCATGACCTGAGCCGAAGGCAGTCGCTCAACCATCTGAGCCACCCAGGCGGCCTAAAATAATATTTATTTTTATTAAAAAAGGACGTTTTTCCTCTTAAGGTCAACCAAGTGTCAGCTACAGTTGGAAAAGACTTCACTCTGACTCCATCTAAACTGATTCAGTTTGACCCAGGTACGTTTTGTGTCTACAGTTTGTTTCCTGTTTTTGTAAGAATGTGTGCAGGTCATGGGGACCTATTTCAGCCACTCCAAGAGAGATCAGTTTGGACTTGAGGTTTTGTCCCCCATATTTCACTTTATCACAAGTGAATATTTATTTAAAATGAGAAGAAAACTCATAACAAATAAATATAAAAATATCAAAGCAAACATCCAAAAAATCCAGAAAAGGGTGTCATCTAAAAAATTATTTGGGGGCGCCTGGGTGGCTCAGTCGATTAAGTGTCCGACTTTTGTTTTGGGCTCAGGTCATGGTCTCAGGGTCATGAGATTGAGCCCCACATTGAGCTCCGCACTGGGCTTGGAGCCTGCTTAAGATTCTCCCTCTCCCTCTCCCCCTACCCCCTTCTAAAAACAAAAAAACCCAAAAGACCAAAAAAAAAAAATCAAATAAAAAATTACTTGGAGTCCTAACATAAAGCTGAGCTAATTTAATTGCCTCATACTTTGATGGAAATTTTCAGAAAGTCATATTCGCATGAGGCCATTTCTAAATGATTTCTCTTGGAATAGGTTGAAATGAGGAGATTTCAGGGAAGATTAATTAGATAGCACATATTTTGCTTTAAATCTGTGGAAAAAATTCTGCCAGGTGCAAAAGGGAATATAAAAGCATGGTGCCTACTCTCAAAGGTGTTCTATCATGTGGGAAATAGAGACATGAAAACAACTCACTAAGAGTACATTGGGACCCAAAAGATGAGCCACTGTTCTGGTTAAGGGGAATCCTGGAAAACTTCCCAGAGGAGATGGTATTCTGAGCAAGTAGAAGAAGAAGGAGGAGGGGACTTCAGGGTGAAGGACCAACACACTTTTGGGGAAATGTGTCTAAAGCACTGAGGCTGGATCCACACCTTCCTTTCCTGGCTTCTTTGAAGGGGCAGGTAGCTCTCCTTCACTGCACGCATGGTTCTCTCTTTCCCTCTAGTCTGGGATGCACATGGATCACCTGTCCAGGGGCAAATGGAAAAGGCCTTGTGAAGCAGCCAGAGCTTGGGGCTTTGTGCTCTCCTGCAGAGGAGGCGTTCTACACTCTGAGAACATTCCACCAAATCACAACTCTTGCCATTTTCTGCCACTGATACGTGATGGTTCAAGCAAAGGCAAAACAAAGTAGCCTTAAGTATCATCACCGCCCCAAAATTGACATCCTTAAAAGTAAACAGAAAAGAAATGCCTTTCTGCCATTTATCACAAGTAGCATGATGTTTTGTGACTAGTTTAGTTTGCTAAGGCTGCCCTCACAAAATATCACAAATGGGTAGCTTAAAAACAGAAATTTATTTTCCCACCATTCTGGAGGCTACAAGTTCAAGATCAAGGGGTCAGCAGGGTTGATTCCTTCCAGGGGCTGTGAGAGAGCATCTGTTCCATGCCTGTCTCCCATGCTCTGGTGATTGGCTGGAATCTTTGGCATTCCTTGGCTTCTGCTATTTCTATACCAGTCTCTGCCCTTGTCCCCACATGACTTTATTGTGTATGCATCTGTGTCCAAATTTCCCCTTTTTATAAGTACATCGATCATAATGGATTAGAGGCCCACTCTAGTATGACTTTATCTTAACCAGTTACATCTGTAAATAAGGTCATGTTCTGAAGTACTAGGAATTAGGATTTCAACATAAAGATTTTGAGTACCCAATTCAACCTATAACAATGACCCTTAAATTTGACATGAAACTACCCAAATATTATGATTGGCCTCCTTCCTGTGATATTTATGTTTCCTGACTCATGTAAGTTTGATCCTCAAGTGACCTACTTTGTAGAAGAGCTGTTCCCATAAGGTATTTGATGTTTACCCACAGGTTGCTGCAAGGCAACACAAGAGTGTTCTGGTCAACCTGAAGATGAAAGATTTTGGTGCATTTACACTGTGTATGTCCCTTTTGTACTTCATGATAAGGCAGTTCAAACCTTTCTACTTTGGAGAACCAAGAGACTTTGTCATATGTTGTCTTTATTATTTGAGGCCTGTTTGTCACAGGATCTGGAGTGATTTGGGCTTTCAGTAGATTTTGAGCAGCCTTCCAGGTGCTCCATTTGGATTGATAGCAACTAGAAAGTATCACACTTAGAGGAGGCTCTGAAATCCACCTCTAGGAGTTTCCACTGGATAAGATAAAGGCTGATTTGTCTACAAGAGTTTACGTGCTATTTTGAGTAGATCCGGATGACTTCTGGAGGCTCTAACTGGTCATGATTTTAGGGATTATTTAGACATTTTAAGAAAAAAATCTTACAAGTTAAAAAGGAACAATACTTGCCTGCTCATTGTTTTGGAATTGACTAGCCAGAAATGGTTTCATTAGCTGAAGTCTTACTTTAGAGTATTTTAAAGTTCCCTATGTTCACAGGTCCTGTATATGTTTATTTACTCCCATATTGTTAAACCTTGCCTCTTCTGGGTCTGGTGTCCCCACCCCCACCCCCACTGCTTTTGCCCAAAGCAATCTGTTTTTTTCTTCAAAAATGTAGCCTCCATGATGGGCGAAGAAACAGAGTGAGAAATCAAAGACAGTAGGATATGAGAAGGTTTGAGAACTTTGGGGAGGGTGCTGGAGAGAAACGGGTAACTTTTCAGTCTAGCGAGCTTCACCTTCCTGCCATTGCACTGAACCCCAAACTAATCCTGCCTACTTTGCATTCAGCTATTGTGACTGATTGAGTCAAAGTGTAAATATTCTTAAGAAAATGATTGTTTTCCTTTTAAATATGTGTTCTTGAAAGGTTTGCTGCTTTCTTAATTGAGGCTAAATCATTCCTACGAGTCAAAATGTTTTCCAAAGGAACAGATCTCTAAAATGGCATTTACTAAAAAACATTGAGGCAGTGTCTTTCAGTAGTGGAATCTGCTTTGCCGGAAAATATCCAGTAATTGACCTATTCTGTAAAGTGGGGTATGTCTGCATAAAGTGACACCTTTTCTTCAGCACCTTTTGTTTTATGGGAACAGGAGGCCAGTTCAAGCCTTCTGAAATTGCTTATAATCTCGGTGATTTAACAACTACTTTGCACCTTGAAAATGGGAGAGGAAGGAAAAAGAAAAACCCAGAAAGTTCTTACTTCCAATCTCATTAACCTAGAAAAGTTGGTTCTATATGCACACCTGGTAGGCATAGAAACAAAATTGAAATGCAAGCAAACCAATCAGAAAGTACTTAAATGAAATTTGGAAGAGATTTGCTCTAACCCTCTGGTTCTACTCCATAAGGTCTTAGAAAAACTTTAATTATGGGGGGGGTTGGGAGGGAGAAGGGGTACTATAATTTTAAAAAAAAATGATTCTTAACAGTAAGAGGGCAATTGGTTGGGACTTGGATTTTTTTTTTTTTTGGTATTGGAGTTTTATTTGAATAATGCTTAACTTTTTGCACTTTGGGAGTCAAAACAGTTCTTTGAACATTAAACTTCTTAATATTCATGCACTTTCTGTACCGTCTGGTCTCTTATCCCTTCCTGCCAGGTTTATTACAACAGCTGCCCATGTGGCCTCCCCACTTCTAGCCTCTTTGCCCATCTTCCTGGGCCCCTAAATCTTCCTGCGTAACACGGAGATTGATTTTTTCTAAGACCTCCATTTTCAAGAGTCTTCCCTGTTGCCTATGGTTTAAAGTCTGAATCCAGCACCTGGTGTCCAGGGTTCTCTGCAGCCTGGCCACAAACTGCCTTTGCTTTTTACCATCTCGTGTTCCATGGTGAGAGCTCTGTTCCAGCCAGCTCATTCGCTCAGCCCTCCCTGTTCAAGGCCTTTGCTCCTCTACCTTCCTGCCTTTGCTTATGCTGCTTTCCCACTCCCTCCCTCCCAAACCTCCCTACTCTGGCGCCCACATACATACAGTATTTACCATCTAGTCTGTATCTCTTGGCAGCTAATCATATATAGCCTTGCACAGTGGCCTCTCCTTGTATTTACATCTTGTCTCTTCAAAGAGCTTTTAAATTCCTTTATGTCAGGGCATGCTAACGTTATACCTCTGGTGTTCTCCATAGCATCTAAAGCAAAGGTAAGTACGTAATAGATACAAAATGTGTATTTTGATGGGTCGATCCATCCCTCCATCCACGAGGTGGGAGTTATATGGCATTTTACGTTAGGTGTTGCAACTTCTGTTTTAGCAAAGACTAGGAAAATAATTGATTTAGGGATTCAGTTGATACGGAAAGCTTAACAAACCAGTTGTCAGCCTGTTTTTTTTTTTTTTAAATAAAATTATTTCAACTACACTTAATTTTGTTTCCCTCTAAGTGCAGCCAGGAGTAGGATAAATGAACAGTTTCATCTTTCAATGGATTTTGCGGGGGATCAAGGAAACGTTGATTAGATCATGAAATCTGTATATGACACATCTTCAAAGAGGAGGCTGTCATATAGATGGCGCAATCGCGAGGCATAAATCTGCAGTAAACAATGTGCGGGGAGAAAGGAATCCAGATTTTCAGAAGAGAGGGCTCAGGAAAAAATGCTTGACTGCTTCGATAGATGGGAATTTATGGGAATAAAACCCCTCTAAGAGCCAGTGAGTGAATGCCAGCGAGTAAAAGTTTTCAAAACAGTCCTAGAAAGCTAAACCATACATTTATTATCTTTCCCCCCCTTAAACTTGAGCCTTCTTTCTCTGCTAAATGGTACTTCTTTTTTTTTTTTTTTCTTCCACTACGTTCTCTTCTAAATAAACTAAGTGGGATATCCTGTAATCTGCGTCATGGAAAGGGGTCAGGATCAGACAATCTCACAAGTTTCTTCCAGCTTTAATATTTTGTGTTTCTGGGCTTGCTTTGTGTCCCATCTCCGTGGTGACATAGCTGGGGCTATGTTTGGACCATTGAAACGGTTGGGTATTAAGTTCACAAAATTGCCGTGAACCAAGCTTGATTGTAACTCCCTGAGCGGAGGCAGACAGAAAGAGAAAAAAAAAAGGGGGCTCAGTCTGTTTCTAAAACCCCCAGCCCATAAATTCTCTCGAGGAAGGTATCAAATACTGAGTATTACATCATTAGAAAAAAAACATTTGTGGGCTAGAAGGATCTCAGGAAGCTGAGCAGTGGATGGAGGCAGCTGTCTTTAGAAATCAATCATTTCAAGGGTTCCATGAATAGCATGGAGTACCATCCAATAATCACTTTTAACTGTCTCTGCCAGCCTTTTAAGAGTTTTGAAACTATTAAGATTTTAAGATTGCGGTACTTGTTTATTCTTAAGGAGAGAAGGGGCAGGTCGGGGAGGGGGGGAAGTAAGTCTTGGATCTCATCTCCTAACCATTTTTTGTTGTTGTTGTTCATCCCTTGCATAATGCAGCTTACTTTTTTGTTACAGTGTTTGCATTGAAACGGAAGCATCATTGTCCAGGAACAAATGTGGTCTTTTAATATTATTTGGGAGAACAGCAGGACTTGAGCAGAGTTGCTAGCAGTACAGTAGCTCACTCAGGCTACTGCAGCCTAGCTGTAGACATGTTAATTAATATATTTCTCTGACACCTAGGTGATTGAAATAGCAATTAAAGAGTAATTAAAATGTTTACTTCTTGTAGGAATGTCAACTAAGATGTGGAATATAGCAATTACCTATGACGGTTTAGAGGAAGACAATGAGGCCTTTGAAGTAATTCTGAACTCCCCTGTGAATGCGGTTCTTGGCACAAAGACAAAAGCTGCAGTGAAAATTTTGGACTCAAAAGGAGGTATTCTTTTGATCCTCATCTTGAAATCAGGAGCGGTCCTGGCGCTGTAGCTGCTTGCTTTCAACAGCCAATGTGCTTGATAACGCCTTCAAATCAAAATGCTTAGTTTCTTGTCAAGAAAGCAACCTCAGTCGTGTCGTAGGCCCTTTATTCTGGTTTCTGCTTCATGTGGTTTTCCTCCTGCAAGAACTAGTGTTTGAGAAAAGCAACAAGTCAGTGGCATGGTTGTTTTTTTTTTGTTGTTGTTGTTTTTTTCCCCTACCCATTTGTTGTTCTCACCAAGGGGGAAACAATGTTGGTGAGAATCTATCGACAATTATTTTCCCCCAGAGTTTGCAGGGCTGTAATTATCTTCCTCTGTTAAAGAGAGCTCTTAATGCCTCAAATCTGAGCCCCCACTGTAGTGTGACCAGGAAAATTCTAAGAGAGGAAGGAATTGGAGAAAAACAGATGTGAAAGATACAGCTAGCTAGGAGATTCAGGAGAAGCTGGAGAATATTAATGAATAACCTTGGGTTGCAGAGCCAAGTAGGTCCTGGATAGTGTATGCAAAAAGAACAACCTGTGAACTAAATAAAATAAAAACTGAGCACAGTCCTTGGTGCTCTGATTTTTTTTTTCTGCCAAATATTTTCTACTTAGGTGTCAATTTAGGATTTGACAAGTGTCCAGGTACCATGCACGGGCTTAGACCTCTGCTTTTACACCTGTCGTGCCCCATGCTATGTTCTCCCTACCTGAAATCCACTCTCACCTCTTCTCTTTCCTATGATAAAAATAAACACTATCCCCTTGCCTTTATGATACTTATTTTTTCCACAACATCTTTCCCCATCACCTTTACGGCCAAATTCATTTCTTTCTCGGTAGAATTTTCTGGTCACAGTGAGTACATAAAATACATGAAATACACACTTTACACATGAAATACAAAATAGCCGCATGAGGGTCGTGGGTTTAGATTTTTGTCACACTAATTGGAAATGCTTCTAGTAGAAGTAGCTCCGTTAAGGTTTACTGGCTCTTTGTTCTGTAACAGTTGAATGCTAATTTTTTATAACTGTTACTTGATTTCGCTTCTTCAAACGATTCCAGCGTCTACCTCTAGCAGGCTGGAGAAAGGATGAGCACTTTGCAGCGTTTACGGAATGATCCTTGATCAGTGAATAAACCTGAGGAATGCTATAACATGAAGAGAAGTGAGGCAGTTTCCCCAGTACGTGGTCTGATTATAAAATTATGACAATGGCTTTCGTTTGTGGTTTGTGAAATCAATTTCGTGACTTTATAACCACCCCGTAGCGGTGCAGAAGGGCACAGCTTTCCTGCATGGAAACAGATGAAAAGTAAAGGAGTTCTGGCAAATGGCAAAGAGGCGGCATCTGGGGGGAAACCATCCATCTAAGTTTAATGACATGCTGCTGCAGGGGCTGTGTCGATGTGATCCACCCGTTGGTGTACCATGAACTGACCTGCCATCTTTCACGCCCACAGGGCAGTGCCATCCTTCACATTCCTTCAACCCCAACAAGCACAACGCACGGGAGAAGGGCGTTTGGCACCCACTGTCCCCAGGGTCTTCCTCACCCACCACTTCTGGTTCCTTTCATCTGGAAAGAAGACCCCTTCCATCTAACAAGCAGCCGGCAGTCACTAGGGGAGACATCCGACAGGGCTTTGAGTCTCCAGATCTTTCTCGTATGAAGCTTAGGACCCGGGGGAATGGCAAAATGGTAAGGATGGGGAACTTCTGGGATCTGATGTGCAGAGGACATTGTAGAAGAATAAAAAAATATTAATAATTGTTCTGAAACACTGAAGAAGCCAATTTGCATAGTGAATGGGAGCCATGGTTCCTTGCACAAGCACGCGGTACCCCCCCCCACTTTGTTTAAAAGATTTTATTTTTAAGTAATCTCTACACCCAACGTGGGGCTTGAACTTAGGACCCTGAGATCAAGAGTCCCATGCTCCAGTGACTAAGCCAGCCAGGCACCCCCATGCAGTGCCTTTTGTATACAGATATCATAACATTGCCCACTGCCTTAATTTGTACTAATTTAGGTGATGGATGTACTGAATCATCCATATGATTTCTGCTGTGGTTCCCTTTGTGATCAAAACAGATAGGGGTTAACCAGTGACACTGGAACAGAATGAGATTAAGTGATCTACTTGGGTGTGGAAACCGTGGCTTTGACCTTATTAGCACAGGATTCTAATTAGGCACACACTGTGTGTGCGTGTGTACTTGGACCTCTGTGTGCCACAGATATACCAAGAAAATAAGAATGTCCTTTCTCTATAACTGAAACTATGAATGTATGAATCAACACTGGTAAGTTATGATTAGGTCCGGTGATTTTAAAAATTCTAATGATTTGGGCATGGAAAATCTTAAGTAACATATGTTTTAACATTTTTTCAACACTAACAAGATCTTACTGAAAGGGTTTTACCCTGTTGCTAGTTGTTATTATTCAAACCAATTTTGTTCATATTTTGTACTTTGTTGATTTCAGGTTCTTCCATCCTCTGTTCATAGAAATGGAACCGACATCATCTATAATGTAAGCATAGCCTGAGAGAATCGCTAAATTTCTGTATTTCTGGATGCAAAATATTTAGTGAAATTGTTATTTTTTTTGATTTCTTCTGTATTTATGTATTTCTCTTAAAAGCCTGTTTTGACATTTGTTTTTGAGGCTTGGTGGTCAGAAAAAAAAAAAAAACTACCTTTTACCTTTTTGCTTTAACCGAACTTTTGAATTGCTCATCTTTCCAGCAAACGTTTTTGTTTGCTGTCTGGGTGTTTGCTTTCTCTTTATTGTTGTTTTCTGGTTTCCTCCTGTATCACGGAACGGTTTCCCTGAAGCTGGAGGAAGACGGCTCTCCATCTCACAAACGGAAGGCCAAAATATCCATTATTCGTCAGCCACAAAAGACAAGCAAAGAGGCAGAGCTGCCTCAGGCAGATAAGGTAGAATCCACAACCGACTCACACTTCCCCAGACAGGTAGGGAAATCTTTTTACTTCCTATTCATCTTACAACAAGCTGTTTGCTGGGTTATAAAACAGCCTCAGGCTTGGGGATCGTTTGCCCAACACAAATGCTACCTAACAAACGAAGACCTGAAGGGGGTGAATGTGCGATCCGATTACATTAAGTCAGATCTACGTTACCTCTCCTTCCCATAGGACCTGCTGCCCTCATTTCCAAAGAACTGCACACTGGAATTAAAGGGCCTTTTCCACTTCCAAGAAAGCCTCCGAAAGCTATACAAGTGTGATGGGGTTACGTGGAAAGCTTGGAGCCCCCAAAGCGAGGTGGGACACGGGATGAGCTGCGAAGGATCTCTGCTTGCTCTGTGCTCTGTGATATGCTGATAGACAGGAAATGATCTGACAGCTCTTGCTACATCCACCTGCCCTCCTTCTACTTTGAAGGTGAAGAGGAAAATATGGCCCAAGGGGTGTTTCACAAATCACAAAACACGTTTGTTAATCGATACAATTTAAGAAGGTGTTTACTCATTTTGTTTAATCATCAGAATGTCAAAAGTGTACAATTGAAATAGTGCTGACTTCAGTAGTGTTTTCTGTAAAAACCCATCACGTTCCTCAAGGTGGAGAATTGGGAAAAGGGCTGACGTCCTTTCTGGTGACAGAACTACTCTAGTCAGGTTAGGGGACTTACGGAACTCTTGATGCTGACGGTAAAGACCATTCTGATGTGAACATGGACAACTGTATTTCAGGAGGTAGAAGGTAAATCCTGCCCAGCTGGTTGGCACCATCACTCAGGCTACTGCCACTCCCTGATCACAGAGCAGAAAGTCACCTGGAACACAGCTGCCCAAGCTTGCAAGGAACAGTAAGAAACCCTTTTTCACTTTAATGGTTTTTTCATACTGCCTCTCTCTTTTCTCACGCAACTGCGGGGTCGCTGCCTTCACTGGAGCCTTGACTGTCTAATATCTACTTGGTTTTGTTTTAGGAAGCCCAGGAAAGTTCTGTAGTTCAGAATGGATTTGAGATTACCTTGATAATATATTTTGACGTATCTCTCTATGTGAAGACTGTGCCGTTGCCATAATTCTACTTTTAGTTTCTCTCGGTCTTTTGGAGAAAGTCAGAGGAGATTTTCTGAGTCAGCAGCTTTGCAGGTTGTTTTTTTTTTTTTTTAATTAAGTAGGGATTCCTGCCCAGTAATTTGAAAATACGTAGCAATGAAAGCTCTTATAGTATCAGACCTATGACAATGTCAGGGACAGTGATGATTATGGAACCAGACAAGTTGGACAAAGCATCGGTGGGTAATGGAACACTTAGTGAAGGATGGCTTGTGGTGAAATCATGACAACAAAATTTATCTAGCCCAGAAGGACTTTAAAAATGCATATGTACCTATCCCTGACCACCAGCCCCCCTTTTTGCCCACCTGGATATTATCCAGAACAATGCAATTAGACTAATCTGCCCCATGGCTGGAAATGGAGACTTAGAGAAGTCCCTGGTGAATAGCAGTCAGATCTTGCACTTCATCAAATTCAAAAAGTTATGCTCATCTAAAAACACTGCTAAGAAAGTGAAAGGGCAAACCACATTTGGCAAAGCTCATCTCCAATTGTCCAACTGATCTAGGTCTCAAATCCAGAAAATGCAAACAATTCCTATGAATCTGTAACAAAAAGACAACCTGATTCAAAAAAAAATAGCAAATGACTTGGAGACTTCACAAGAAAAGATATATAATTGATTGATAAGTGCATGAAAAGAGGCACCACCATTAGACATCTGGGAAGTGCAAATAAAAACCACAGTGAAATACCACTTCACACCCACCATAAAATCACAAAGACTGACAGTACCACATGGAGTTCTCATATATGTTGGTGGAAGTGTAAAATGGTAACCTCTGTGTAAAAGTGTAAAAGTGTATAACCGCTTTGTAGAGTTGTCTGGCAGTTTTTTATAAAGTTACATATATTTGCCCTGTGACCTAACATCTCTACTCCTAGGTATTTACCTGAAAGAGATAAAATTTTATGCTAAAGGGGTACCTGGCTGGCTCATTTAGAGGAGTATGTGACTCTTGATCTTGGGGTCATGAGTTTGAGCCCCACGTTGGGTGTAGAGATTACTTAAATAAATAAAACTTAAAAAAATATATGCTAACAAAGACATTCACAAGAATTTCATAGCACCTTTTTTTAAATATAATAATAATAGTTTGGGTGTGGGGCATCTGAGTGGCTAGTCCGTTAAGCAGTTAAGAGTCTGCCTTCAGCTCAGGTCATGATTTCAGGGTCCTGGAATTGAGCCCTGTGTCAGGCTCCCTGCTCATCAGGGAGTCTGCTTCTCCCTCTGCCTCCCCTTGCTTGTTCTCTCTCTCTCTGTCACTCACTCTCTCAAATAAATAAATAAAATCTTAAAAAAATAATAATAGTTTAGGTCATTTGCCTTTTTGTTGTTGATTTATAAGGGTTCTTTGTATTTTCTCCATCAACAAGGAAATAGATTATTCTTTTTCTGATAAATTATTTTATGAATGATAAAATGGAATGAACTACTAAAACCTCCAACAATGTGAATAAATCTCAAAAACATGTAGAGAGGAAGCAACCCAACATAAAAGAGTGCATATTATATGATTTCATTTATATGAATAGGAAAAACTAATTTATTAGTTGGTGTTACAAATAAGAAAAAAAAAAAAACAGTCATCCCGGGCGGGGATTGTAGCGTGACTAAAAAGTAGCATGAGGTAAGATTCTAGAGTGGGGGAGATGTTCTACGTCTTGCTCTGGGTGGTTGTTACATGGATATATATATACAATTGTGAAAATTCATTGCATTGAATACTTAAAATTTATGCATTTTACTGTACATAAATTATAACTGGATTTTTTTTAAGATTTATTTATTTATTTTAGAGAGAGAGGGAGGGAGAATCTTGATCCCACAACCCTGAGATCACCAGCTGAGCCACAACCAAGAGTTAGACACTCAACCGACTGTGCCACCCAGGCACCCCATAACTAGATTTTTAAAGAGTTAATAAAATATTTTACAAGTCTGGGGCACTTGGGTGGCTCAGTCGGTTAAGCGTCTGCCTTCAGCTCAGGTCATGATCCCGGGGTCCTGGGATGGAGCCCCATGCTCAGTGGGGAGCTTCCTTCTCCCTCTCCCTTTGTCCCTCCCCCTGGCTTGTGCTCATTTGCTCCCTCTCTCAAATGAATAAATAAAATCTTTAAAAAATATATTTTAAGTCTTTTTAAAAATTGGTCAAATTATCCACCCTTTTTTCACTGATGTATTTCATGTCTTAAATATGAGTACTATAGAGGTTAATCAGTGGCTTTCAGGTTTTTGTTGATGAGTGGGTGCTATGAAGTAAGTTAAACTATTTTTTTAATTTTATAAATAATTATTGTTTAAATACATACATTCCCATATTGCTGTATGTTAGGGGACAATGAAGACATTCTTCCACCCAAGTAACTGGGTGTCCTACTTTTATTTAACGTTTGTCTTAATGCATTGATAGCTCAGGTAGGAAGAGTGGTATAGGTCTTTTTTTTTTCCTTCTTGAGGAGAGAGCTCTGGTGTGGAATGAAAAGCTCTCTGATTTAGCCAGGAGAAGACTGCAACATGTTACGAAGAGGAGCGTATGGTGTCCATACTGACAAAAATGAGGGAGCGTACAGAAGTGCAGTTATACCATAGCCAAGGTTACCAGATCAAATGCTGCTGGGATTTGTTGGTAAAATATAGGTGAACAGAGCGACATTAGTCCAAACCTTAAGTTTGAAGGCAGCCTTATTGTTCATCTTGCAGTGATCCTCAACAGTTCAGGTAACTCTGCCGGCCTATAATGAAGCTCTAACCGGTTCTTCATGTTATGAGAAAAGTAAAGACAACGTGTATTGAGCAATATCTTTCCATCCCTTCATCAATGTTGGCATCAGGTCACCAAGTATCTTTTCTTAGAAGGACTGTTCTTTACTCTGATACTATGATCTTCTTGCTTTTTGGTGTCAAAATTCATTTTTTTGAAATCATGGCAATTTGTAATTATATTGATAACTTCATGGTGACCAACCTACATTGGTCCCCCAATATATTTTTTATTTTATTGATCCATCTAATTGCAGCTGGTTTTAATGGTGAGTACAAAGAGTAGGAAGACTAGTTATGTACCTATTAATCTTGTCATAAATCTATGAATATGATACAGTTCCCTTGTCCCAATAATAAACTTGAAGCCCAAATTAATTTAAAAGTCTAGCTACTTCCTCATGTGTTTGCCCTAGGATCTCGTCTGCAACTTGGGTTTAAGCACGTTTACACCCTGATCATTTTACAGTAGCCTGACCTAGTTCTACATGCCTCCTTTACCAATAACGCCTTCCTTTGATGTTACACTGTATAGTTTACAGAATTCTTTCACCTCTACTAGCTTGTTTGATCCTCCCATCATCCTTCTGTGAGGGAAGCACGTATTATTATCTACATTCTACAGATAAAACAAAAGGGATTTGGAAAAGCAAAATCACTCGCTCGTGGACTTCATTTCTATTATACTCTCCAAATAGCTCATAAGGATCGGGGCTATCTCGTCTCAGGTGAATTGACGAGCACACCTATGTTAACTTTGTGTTGAACTAACCTAAAGTAGGTTTCAAAACTATGTATTAGTATTTTGTATCTTTCACAGCAAAGATACACTATGATTTTTATTAAATTATGGACCCTAATTTCTTTTGGATTGGAATAAAAATAATCTTTCAGAGCAAACTTAAGGTACAATCAGGTTCTCAGTTTATAAATTCATTCATTCAACAAATATTTGGGCACTTACTCTACTGGAAATGTCTAGACCAGACTGCATCTTAAAGTATCATCCCCCAGGATTGGCCCCACAGCCCAATAACTAAATCATTCTTCATTCATCAGTGAGCTGCAGAAAAATTGACACCATCTTTCTCCAGATACATCTGTCCTATATGGCAAGTCTTTATTAAAGATTTTTTTTTATTTACTTGAGAGAGAAAGTGAGTGAGAGAGAGCATGAGCAGGGGGAGAGGGAGAAGCAGGCTCCCCATTGAGCAGGGAGCTCTACCTGGGGCTTGATCCCAGGACTCTGGGATCATGACCTGAGCCAAAGGCAGACGCTTAACTGACTGAGCCACCCAGGCGCCCCTATGTCAAGTCTTTAAACCCCTCATTTTATATCAGTAAGGTGTCATACAATCCTGAGAATTCTTTCCCACATCTGCTTCTCACAAAGCTCTATTAAGAATGTGAAAGTCAGGGGCACCTGGGTGGCTCAGTTGTTAAGCATCTGCCTTCAGCTCAGGTCATGATCCCAGGGTCCTGGGATTGAGCCCCGCATCAGGCTCCCTGCTCCGCGGGAAGCCTGCTTCTCCCTCTCCCACTCCCCCTGCTTGTGTTCCCTCTCTTGCTGTGTCTCTCTGTCAAATAAATAAGTAAAATCTTAAAAAAAAAAAAAAAAAAGAATGTGAAAGTCAGTGGGGTGCCTGGGTGGCTCGGTTGAACGTTGGACTCTTGGTTTCAGCCTAGGTCGTGATTTCAGGGTCGTGATCTCAAGGTCATGAGATGGGGCTCTGCATCAGGCTCTCGCTCAGTGGGGAGTCTCCTTGAGATTCTCCTCCCTCCGCCCCTCTCCTGCTCTCTCTAAAAGTAGATAAATAAATCTTAAAAAAAAAAAAAAGAATGTGAAAGTCACTAAATTTAAAATGGCAGCGTTTAGCTTTCATTAAGTTGATGTCTCTGGACCTAAATGTAAATAATGTAAGTTACAAGCTGTATTTGTTGATTGCACCTATGAGAACATTAAGTACAAATAGAAGGGTATTTTGTGCTATAATAACTATTATAAAATCTATTATAGCAATGATGGAAAATTTCCATCTCTCCTATTAATTTAAGGGTATTAAAGATCATATCTAGTAGATCAAACTGGTATTATTAGCAGGTTCAGAGTAATTTATTCATATTATTTTGAAGTCATTTTGGTAAACTCATCTCAGGGAATTATTTTAAGCTCTAGAACTGTGATTTCTTTTGATATATAAAACTGAGAAAACTTTCAGAACAAAAAAAAAGTTTTTAGGGACAATTGGAATTTTTCCATCATATTTTAGAAAGAGACGAATTGTGTATCTATCAGTAATAAAACTCTTTCAAATTACACATTATCTGTTTACCAGATTGGTCCAGAACTTAGAACATCTATCAAATACCATTTCTGATGGTATTCCAGAATGTGTAAGAGAGGTAAAGAAAATATATATGGTCTGAGATTTTTAAAATATCATAAAAAGCTTTTAATTTTCAAATTTTATTTGAAAAAATGAGTATGAATATTTGATCTGATTGTATTTGTGTGATACTTCACTATGCATTGTATTTCGAAAGGACGAGAATGATTACCCCAAGAACAGTTAATACTAGCTACAGACATTTCAAAAAATGACTAGCGGCAAGTTAAAAGCAAACTAAAAGGAAAAAGAAAAGATCTCCCTGTTCCTTTGGCTCAGTTATTCTACAAGAAGTATTTTTGGGCGGCAGGGCCACCTCTTCCGTATAATTTTTCTCTGAACCCCAAGACCTCCTCTACCATTAAACATGTTTTTACCATCAGATGGGCCCCCCAGCCTTCCTGGACCCATTACCTTTCAGGTTTATTGTGTTTTCTGCTTCTCTACCCTCTTTGTCTTGCAAAACAGGTATTCTTCACTATATCATACCCCTGAATCTAATATAACTCTGTTATGTTAACAATACTGGAATTAAAATAAACTTAATATATATATATATATATATATAAGGAAGAAAAATATGTATTCCTTTTATATATACATATATAAAAGGAAGAAAAATATCTATTCTTCTGGGAATTATCCATTCCTTCTGTGATATAAAATTTATAGTTTCACCATTTCACAACCTGGATATTTACCTTCTCATGAATTAATTTTAGGAGATGATCTTAGATTTTCTAATTAGAATTAATATTAATATTAGTATGTTTTTGATTTGGTATCAGGGATCATTATTCAATTCTGAGCTGTGTTTCCTGGGGCTCTCTTCCCTGAAGGTCCTTTACAGAGAGTCATTTGCAGCACCCAATGTTTCAAGAACAGCAAATTTTGCTTTTCTCCTTGTCCCTAATCAGATTGCTAACTCAACTCAATCTTTATCTCCAATCTCCTTTCCTCTCCATTGGTGTTTTATTATTTTTCCAACCCAGAGGAGCTAGACTCCTAGATTAGGTATTTCTTGAATTTACATATTGTAATCTCATCTGCTCATTTCCTTAGGCCGTCATTGTACATTTGGTAATTCTATTATTATAAATCATTATCTATAAAACCATTTTGTTTTCCCACAGGAGTGTCTGGAACCCCTGCTGGCCTGGCCTTAACGAGTTACTCTGAAATACACCTATACTTAATCAAAACATTTCAAAGAAGTAGATGTTTATTTCTTTAACTAGAAAAATTGAAGTTTCTCTTTTTATTACTACACTTTGAATGCCTTCAAATTTCAGAGCTGCCCAAAGATTTTTATATGTATGTGTTTCTATATTTTATTTTTCTATCTCTCTATACACATCTATATAGATAATGTTCACACTATTTGGTGTGTGTATGGGCATAAAGGAAAAGGAATATTTTTGTAAAATAATCAACATACCAGTGCCTAAATATTTCTTTTACAAATAATTATGGTCTAACATGTTACGTAACCTAAACACAGCTATCTTCCCATCTTGCTCTTTTGGGACTTTTTGCTTCTTGGAGAGACAAAAAAAGAAATCAAACTTGCACTTGACCAGCTAAAATGGATTTTACAAAGTCTGTTTTCACAATATTTTCAAGAATCTTAAAGCGGGAGAAGATGTTAAATATCCTTGAATAAGCCCTGTCACTTCTAATGATGAAGGTGAGGCTGCAGTTATGGCTGTAAGGGAATTGGGCAGAGCAGGAAGAGAACTCAGATCTCCTTTGCCCTGTTCAATGCACCATATTTACTGAGGCAGCCCCTCAAGCCTTCCCTCGGCCTACATATTTGGCAGAATACCACACATTTGTATTCTGAGTTCTAAACCCTCAGCACGTTAGAATTACCATATTGGATGTGAGAAGGAGGGAAGAAGTTGGGCTCTCGTATCCTCTGTGACTGTCAGACAGGAGATGACAGTAAATAATGAGGTCAGAGCCAAGTCACAAAACCCAAATCCAGCAGCCTGAGGACATTCAGAGAAGGGGTGAAGAGACTTATGTATCTCAGAAGTCCTAGAAGTCACCACTGCATGATAGAACAATAAAGTACTGGTTTTAGTAGGGAAGAAATCAGGAAGAAATGGATAGATTATGTTCTCCATATGTGATCTGGAAAAGCAGAGAAATGAATCGGAAGTTTGGAAAGACATAGGCAAAATGAATAAAATACCAATGGATATTAACCAGGCAAGATCATGGTGACTTTGTTTCTTGTTTGAAACTTTCTGTATTAAAAAAATAAGAAGAAGAAGAAGAAGAAGAAGAAACATAATCATTAGCTTTTTACATAAGCATTTTTAAAGAGCTTTTAATAGGCACCATTGGGGAATTAGAAACAACCAAATATTGCTTATAGGAATAATTCAGCTAGCTGCAAGAATAATTCATGAATAATTCTCATGCCTGTTATAATATCTATATTCAAAAGGATGAGAGATAACAATTGCTGGTAAGGATGTGGAGAAAAGGAATTCCTTGTGTTATAGTGATGGGATTGCAAATTGGTGCAGCCATTATGGAAAACAGTCTGGAGGATTCTCAAAATATTAAGAATAGAACTACCATATGATCCAACAATTCCACTCTGGGAATATATCCGAAGGAAATCAAACCATATGTTGAAGGGCTATCTGCACCCCCATGTTTACAGCATGTTTATTATTTATAGTAGCCAAGACAGGGAAATCCAAGTGTCCATCGACAGATGAATGAATAAAAAAGTTGTGATACATGCCACATGTACGCACAGAGGAATATTATTCAGCCATAAAAAAGAGGAATTCCTGCCATTTGTAACAACATAATACTCGTTGAGGGTTACACTAAGTGAAATAAACCAGATAGAGACAGACAAATACTATATGATCTCACTTATATGTAGAGTCTTAAAACCAAAAAACAAACTCATAGAAAAAAAGATCAGATGTGATTAGCAGAGGCCAGGGATATGGGGTGAGATATTTGGATGAAGTGGTCAAAAGGTACAAACTTTTGGTTCCTGGGATGTAACGTATAGCATAGTGAGTTTAGCTAACACGGCTCTATGGTATATTTGGAAGTTATTGAGAGAGTAAATCCCAAGAGTTCTCATCACAAGGAAAACAATGGTTTTTCTTTCTTTCTTTCTTTTTTTTTTTTGATATCTAAATGAAATGATGGATGCTAAGTAAACTTATGGTAATCATTTCACAATATAGGTAAGTCAAAGCATTACTGTATGCCTTAAACATAAAAACAATTCTATTTGGGGGGATATTTATATGTGTTTTTAAGAACACATGCTTTAACTTCTACGCCACCTATGAAGTTTTGACAGCGAGACCATGCTCATTTCACTGAGTATGACCAAAGGGTCACAGTTATTGGGGTATTTGATTAAGTACACCAAGTGTAAAATGTAGGCCTCAAGTAATTTTATCTGAATAGTTTGGGTTACCTTACTGATCAAATTAACTGGATATTTGTCACATTTATGCCTGTTTAGAGATAGACTCCCTGCGAGAGGAGTAATATTTTGTCATGAATTTTTATAAGTAGGTAGTTGCTGATTTTTCTAAAAAGATGTTTAAAACCTATTGGATTTGTGCTTTAAAGCTCAGATAGTATAAAAAAAAATCTCACTTTCTTTGCTGTCCCCGATCCCACCTTACAGATAGTCATTAAAGTAAAAAAAATAGAGTATTCAAATCCTGGGAAGTTCTTTCTATATATACGCTTTTTTTTTTTTCTATTTTAAACCGATTTGACTTCTGTTACAAATTTCGTAGCAACAGTAACATTGGGCTCCTTGTCACTGACGCTGTCCTTTTTGTTTGTCTCCTTGCAGTCACCTGGGCAGCCTTGTAACCATTGTCTCTAGACGGCACATGCGATGGCTCTGGGACATCAGTGGAGGGAAACCCTTCTGGATAGGCAAGTGTTTGCGCTGTACTGAGGAGGGAGGCGAGAACATCAAGAGGGCATCACCCTCCCCTGGGCCAGATAATTGTGGCTCACAGTAACAAGCAACCATTAAATGGTTGGACAATCTATTTTTTCTTTTTTGGAGGGGGTGCCCGGTGGGCAGGGTGTCTTTTAAACCTCAGCTTGGGGCGCCTGGTGGCTTAGTCGGTTGGGCGTCTGCCTTGGGCTCAGGTCATGATCCCGGGGTTCTGAGATCGAGTCCCGCGTCAGGCTCCCTGCTTGGCGGGAAGCCTGCTTCCCCTCTCCCGCTCATTCTCTCTCTTTCTCTCTCTCTCCAATAAATAAAATCTTTAAAAAAATAAAACTCATCTTAATGACACAATGCTTTGATTTGTAGACATGTACCTCAAAGAAATAATAAGGGATGTGGTTTGGTTTATAGGTAAGAGAATTCAACAAATCCTATTTCTAAAAGTAAAATAGGGGATAGTTAAATTATGGTATAGCCATATGAAGGAATATTTAATATTTAATGCTTTTGTAAGGCGATGAATATTAAAGACATGACAAAGTGCTTAATGTTTATGATTTCATCCAAGAAATACATGTTGGAGACATATTATATATAAAATATGTAACGTATTTGTGACAGCGTGCTGGTGCTAAGTAAAAAAGCAGAGTCCACAGCCATATGAAGCATAAAATAATTTAGAATAAAATATTTATATATGTGATATATATATATACATATGTGCATGTGATATATACATATATAAAGAAATATGCCAAAGAGTTAGAAATGTTTACCCCTATTGACAGTTGTAGGTGGATCTTAATTTTATCCCTTGTTTTCTGAAGTTTTAATATCTTCTTCAATTTTAACAATAACACAATCTCTTCAGAGATAAAAATTCTATTTTTAGGAGTAGAATTCTAGGGGCACATCAAAGTGAGTATTTTCACCATCTATCCTAGAAGGTATTGGATTTCAGGGAACAATAATAAACCCAATCTTGGCTTCTCAAAATCTCTGTAATACTTAGTCCATCTCTAAATTCTGAAATTTTCTGGGCGCCTGGGTGGCTCAGATGGTTAAGCGTCTGCCTTCGGCTCAGGTCATGATCCCAGGGTCCTGGGATCAAGTCCTGCATCGGGCTCCTTGCTCAGCAGGGAGTCTGCTTCTCCCTCTCCCTCTGCCTCTCCCCCTGCTTGTGCTCTCTCTCTCTCGCAAATGAATAAATAAAATCTTTAAAAAAATAAATAAATAAATTCTGAAATTTTCTGAGAGTATTAGGTTAAAGCTGGAGGAGACGTTTTCTCTGCTTCCATAATGACTGATTCAAGGCTCTATCCCACAGAGTGCTTAGGCATAACATCTCCTCCTGATCAATAATGCAAGGAAACAATCCAGAAGGAGATAGTAGTTCATTTTATTCTACCTCAAAATACTGAGGGAGAATCACGGGAGAAGATTATAGGCTATGCATCTAAGACTGTTTTCATGGTTAAACCCGGTTGGGAGATGTCAATTCATGCTTTTATATGAGACTCTTTCCTCATTGCATTCTCTTTGTTTCTACTATGAAGGGGAGTAAGGAGGAAGATTGTTTCTTTAAGAAAAATTACAAAAGCTTTGCAACACTAAAGTGCAATTTGTAAAATAGCCAGTGGGAGTAGAGAGGCAAGTTGAGAAAAGCTGCTTTTAGTTGGAATTATAGCAGGCTGAAAAAAAATCTTACATTCCAGACTAAAAATAATACCTAGTGAAGCTACTTTCAAATCTGAAAACCAAGACATTTATATATCAAGAAAGAACAACAATAGACAAGAGTGTACCTGTTTCGGGCGCCTGGGTGGCTCAGTTGGTTAAGCGACTGCCTTCGGCTCAGGTCATGATCCTGGAGTCCCGGGATCGAGTCCCACATCGGGCTCCCTGCTCAGCAGGGAGTCTGCTTCTCCCTCTGACCCTCTTCCCTCTCATGCTCTCTATCTCTCATTCTCTCTCTCTCAAATAAAAAAATAAAATCTTTAAAAAAAAATAAGTAAGAGTGTACCTGTTTCCCTGGGATAGGAGTTCTGTCTGTAGAATAATGTGAATAATAACTACTGTTTACTAAACATGTATGTATGCCATGAACTTGACATGCATTATCTTATTTAGTACTTAAAAGAGGCCTCAATATACTATTTTTATTCCCATTTCTTAGATGAGGAAACTAAAACTTAGAGTGGTTAAGTAACCTGCCCAAAGATACTCAACTAGTAGGTGGTAGATCTAGGATTTGGATTTGGATCTGCCTGACTCCAAAGCCATATGTTGTTTTGTTTTGTTTTGTGTGTTTTTTTAAATTTTTAAATTTTAATTTTTTAAAAGATTTTATTTCCTTCAGAGAGAGAGACAGAGAGAGACAGAATGAGTGTGGGGGAGGGGCAGAGAGAGAGAGAAGCAGACTCCCCACTGAGCAGGGAGCCCAACCTGGGGCTCAATCCCAGGACCCTGGGATCATGACCTGAGCCGAAGGCAGATGCCCAGCTGACTGAGCCTCCCAGGCGCCCCCCAAAGCTATATGTTCTTAACTGTGTTTTAGGATTCCCAGGTCCTGTTCTGTGTTTTAGAACGTAGGCCCATGTTTGTATGTGATTCCTGAGCTTAGAGCAATAGACTGATATGATATTCAAGCATAAATGTAATATTGGCACATTCTTTGGTTCACATTAGGTTTGAATGACCAAGTGCGTGCTGGCCACTGGGAGTGGATCGGCGGGGAACCTGTCACCTTCACCAACTGGAGGAAAGGGCCCCCTCAACGTTTAAAGCGTGGCAAGAACTGCGTTTTGGCTCAGAGACAAGGGAAGTGGCAAACACAGGACTGTAGGAAGGGCAAGGCTCACAATTACGTGTGCTCCAGGAAACTCTAAACGTAACTGGCCTCACAGGTGCCCACCTGGGATTTCTTACCTATTTATTCACAGGATTTGTGCATATTGTTCAATACAAAACAAGGTGTCATGACTGACTTAGTAATTTTTTTTTATCATGGTATATGAGTGATTCTATCTAGTAAAAAAGGAACATTGATGAATAGTTCCAGGAAGATTGATCAATGAGCATTTTTTCAGGAAGAGATACAATTCTTACATCTTAGTACCTTTCAAAACAAATGCCTGAAGTATTATATGGTACAAGATGTGCGTACTCCTACCCTGACCCCACTCCGTATCTGAGTTCACACCAAGTTCATGGTCCTTGGATTGTTTTTGTCCCAAGACCTCATGTTTTTGTCCCATTCTGAAATCTGTCCTGCAGGTGTTTGTACCACTTCAGTCTGAGGAAAGCTGACCCTACCAGCTCATTAAATCACAGATGAACAGCAAAGGGTCATTTTGTCCCTTTGGAGCCCTTTCGAATGTGAAACCTGAGATAAGAGGCTTGTAGATAAAAAAAGGAGAATTCTCTGTGGTGGGAAAGGAAGGCTTTAGATGGGAGAATCTTGCAGATGGAAGCTCATTTGCAAAGCTCTAGTTCAGGTAAGAATTCAGAGGCTACCTGTACGTCAGGGGTCTACCCGTCCCTACTCATGAGACAGATCTCTTTTTCCAGTAAAAATGTTGGCATCTTACCACCTCAGAGCTAATCATTACACTTCCCCCAGCCTTACAGATTCATGAGAAATTTGAAGTAATGTGAACCTCTCTTTTCATTTGGGTATATGGTACGGATTAACATTTCTCAAGGACATTTGGAGTAGAGTTTATGTGAGTGATGGTTAACACATGGAAGAAAAATACTGCTTCCTCAGAAGTGTCCCAGTGAACTACGTTGATGAACAAAGAAAAATAATTCTGAAAACAGAGCCCTTGAAAACCTACATTCTCAGAACAGATTTTGATATAACTTTGTGCCCTTAAATCTCTAATATTTCTAGAAATGCCATGCTAACCTGATTCTGTAACATAAAGTTCCCTTATTAATTTATAATATCAGCTGAATGAAACATTTTTGTAGCAGCAAAGTGTGTTGCAGCCTTACGGGAACTCCCTTCTGAAATCAAGGTTTAATCACAGGAAATTAGAAATTTATTTCTGAAGCATTTGCTCAGAATTTTCCTCTTTTCATAATCACTGAAAAATATGGTTGTGCCAAATGTAACTTACTCTATGAGTAATTCAGAGTAATTTCAGAGTCAAAATGGGGTTACCAAGTATACTAAAGCTTTGGTGCAGGTTTTATTAGAATAACACGTTCGGTAAAACTAAAATAAATGAAAGAAATTCAGTCCCGTTTCTGGATATAAAACATGACAAGCTTGTTTTATACTCTGCTCATTTATCAAGATTTTCGGTATGAGAAATATTTACAAAGAAAAGTGGGGATAATGTTTAGGCATTCCTACCTCTTACTTAAATTTAAAAGCATGGTGGCGTCGGAAGGCTCCTTACTTTAGGTATCCCAAGTAGGCTCTAGACTGATTACAACATCCAGGTCTCTCATACAACACAAGCACTCTCTGGTATTTAACCAAAAGTTGCAAAACCCACCCTCCATACCAGCTCCAACCCTTTCTGATCCACTGCCTCTGCCATGTGGGAAGGTGAGATGCCAGATAATGTAGCAAAGAGTTGGTTACCTAAAGAGTGATATCCTAGAAGGGAAAGTAAAAGCTCAAGAAATAAAGAGTTCAGGGGCCACTCCCTGCTAGAACTCCAGAGCTATACTAACTATTTAAAACTGGGAATCCAGAACCAGGGCTGTTATGGAGAGAACCTGGTCAGCATGGTAGATTTTTATACTTGTCTGCAATGACGATGATGTTCAATTGCAAATGTTGGCACAAAGAGAGAATGTTTTATGATTTTTGTAGCAACTAGAAATACTAGAATAATATTTTTAAATGTTCCTGATCATGAAAGCATCAATCAGTTTGTAAAATGCAAGTAATTGAATGAAGATACAAACAAAAATTCGGAGAAGTTGGGGGTGGGGCTGGGCAATATTTTTCATGACCTTTATTTCTTTCTCATGATTGCGCTTTGACTCAGGGGAAAAAAAGTAAATGATTGTCATAAAAAAATAAAGAGAGAGACAGGGGCACCTGGCTGGCTCAGTTGGTGGATCTCAGGGTTGTGAGTTCAAGAATCATGTTGGGTGTAGAGATTACTTAAAAATAAAATCTTAAAAAAAAAAAAAGTAAATGATGGTCATGGTTCTCTCTACCTAGATTGGTCACTGTCACCTGTCAGATTCTGGTGGGAGCAAGAAGGAAGGAAATGGAATAATGGTAGAATAAGGAATGGGTGATTATAAGAGAGAGGAGAGACGGGTTGAGCAGGGAGAGATGGGACAGATGGTAGCTAAGAAGGGGAGCATCAGAAAGAAGGACCTAAATGCCACCCAGCTCTTCTCCCCAGATTTGAATACCAACTCAGGAAAAGCCCCCTCTGCCCAAGGACATCAACCCAGCTAAGTAGCCTGTAGCTTTTCAGAATCCTGTGATTTTTGTTCTTTAACCAAACATACATATGTATATAGCATATATTTTGCTGAACATAAACTTAAAATCATATGATAATTATTTCATCTCCTTCCAAGGAGTGGTAAAAATGAACCAGGTGACATTGATTTACGTTTCTGTTTTTGTTTATTTTTAATACAGCCAAAAAGAACATGCACATATTTTCATTAACACTATGGTTTGTATAACTCAAACCAGGAACTGGTGCTGATTAATTTTTGCAACAAAGCAACCTTTTAAATGTCCTGTCTCTAGCGTTGTATCAAAATTAATAAACTTATTTCTACTTCTGAACTACTGTTGCTTTAGCTTTTCACATTTTATATTTATTCTAGCCATTGGAAGAAGGGATGGGAAGGGAAACTCAACATGTCTTCTTTTTATCCTTGCTGTTTAAATCAACCTTTAGTTACACGGCTTTCATCCATCTACCCAGCCACCCAGCCATCAATCCATCTACCATTTATTCAGTGAATGTTATCGAATATCGAGTGCCAGCCCCTCACCTATTCTAGAGACTGGAGATATTACTGTGAACAAGATAGGAAAATAAAAGTATAAAAGCATAGTGTATACATGCAAATTTCTAATAGTTTTTTTTTTTTTTTTTAGCGTGAAACTCTTTATCTGGGAGGAAGTCACAGTGGAAATCATTGATTACATTATCCCTTTTCAGAGTTGAAGGGAAACACACCCCAATACGAACAGCTCAGGCTGTTTTATTTCTTTCCTGATTAATAAACTGGTATTACTTCCTGTGTTTATGATCAAATCAAAATGTTACGGATAGCAGTTGTCCCATATTTCCTGTCCCCAGATCAAGTAAGGAACTAAAGTTTTCAAATCCAGCTGACTGATTTTTGCAACAAGACAAGCAGTAGGTGTCTCTGTGTCTTTGGGATCCCTGGAGTAACAGGAATAAAAAAAAAAAGAGAACAATGATATCATCTCACCTGATGTCCTTATTGTAGAACAGAGGACATGGAAGTCTTCAGAAGGTAAAGTGGGAGGAGATTAGCCCTAGAACCAGAGACCTCCAAATTGTAGGCTGAATCTCTTCAAATTATTCTACATATTCTCATTCTTACCATTCTGAGCAAATGGCTTGCTTATATTCCAGTAAAATATCTTTAAATGATGAGTATGATAAAATTGACATACGCTTGACAACATTATTGTAAGTAAAAGAAGATGGACAGGGAAGGCCATGTACTGCACAGTCCATTCATATGAAATGTCCAAAATGCGCAAATCTATGAAGGCAGAAAGTAGATTCATGGTGACCAGGGGGTGGGGGAAGGGAAAATGGAAACTAACTGCTAATGGGTACAGGGTTTCTTCTTGCGGGCGTGGAAATGATCTGGAGTTAGATAATGGGGGTGGTGGTACAACATAGTGAATACACTAAAAGAGCACTGAAGTGTGCGCTTTAAAATGGTGAATATGATGTTATAGGAAGCATATCTTGATAAAAATGCTATTAAAAATCGCCATATAAAAATTTATTTTAGAAAGCTATAAATGGGTTGATATATTTGCTGTGTGTTTATCTGACTCATCCAAGATACTTTTTTCCAGTCTTTGCCTCATGTCTCACCCAGGTTTTTGTTTGTTTATTTATATAGTTGGTTAAGGGGAAGAGAATGTTGATTGGATGTACTGTTTAACTTACAGGACGGCTTTACTCATCTTCCTCCTTTCTCCCCATTAATCATGAGAGGGCTGTTATAGATGGCAGAGTGTGTCTGGATTTGTGTCATATCCAGAATGCCATGATTTTCTAAAATTAATTCTACAAGTCTTTAGAACAGGATCATGCAGGAAATGAATATACCCTCCTCGTAACTTACACATATAACTGTTCATTTTGAACAGTTTTTATAGGTCTTATATTCTGCTAGGCAATAAAGTCCAGTTTATCGTAAGAAAGAAAGGAACAAAAATCAACCAACACTTCCATTAAGGGCCTTATGGTAACCCACAATACTTTTTCCAAGTACTGAAGTATGAGTTCACCTTTTGCTTCTATCCCCATCTGTATTTTTGCTTCCCAAAGGCAATCAATCCCAACTTACACTACAGAAGAAAAATGGAAAAATATATGCCATCCCAAAACTAGTCAAAAGCAAGCCGAAGCAGCTATATTAATATCAGAGTAGATTTCAGAGCAAAGAATACTACCAAGGTTAAAGGAGTTTATTTTATAATTTAAACGGGTCAATATATCAAGAGGACATAATAATTCTAACATTTAGGCACCTAATAACAATGTTAGAAATACATGAAAGCAAAAACTGATAGAAGTAAACAAATCTATAATTATATTCAGAAATGCTAATACCTTCTCAATAATTGATAGAACAAGTAGGCAGAAAAATCAGTAAGGATTTAGAAGTGTGGACACCAGGGGCGCCTGGGGGGCTCAGTCAGTTAAGCGTCTGCCTTTGGCTCAGGTCATGATCTCAGGGTCCTGGGATCGAGCCCCGCATCGGGCTCCCTGCTCAGCGGGGAGTCTGCTTCTCCCTCTCCCTCTCCCCCTGCTTGTGTTCCCTCTTTGGCTGTCTTTCTCTGTCAAACAAACAAATAAAGACGCTGTTAACCAAATTAACCTAACTGCCATTGCTAGACCACTCCACCCAACAACAGCAGAATAGACATTCTTTTTAAGTGCACAGGAAACATTTGCTGGGGTGAACCATTTTCTGGGACATAAAATGAGTCTCAATAAATTTAAACAGATTTAAGTTAAACAAAATACATTCTCTGACCATAATGGAATTAAATTAGAAATCAATAACAGAAGTATCTCTGGAAAACCCCTAAGTGTTTGGAAACTAAATTATAAACTTATTCAACTCACGGCTTAAACAAGAAATCAATGGGCAAATTAAAAAGTATGGTGAACTGCATAAAAGTGAAAACAGGG